CGATGTGGGAATGGGGTGACCAGAAGAGATAAACCAAAGAACTTATCCTATATAATAAAAGCCTAATATGCTAAGTGTCTGGTAGTCCAGTCGTCCATTCAACCAATCAAAGCATAATATGCTAATGATATACTAAGGCCGCTCAACCACTTGCTATGATGTGCACTGACCACCAGGGGGCAGATGCTCCAACCATTAGGTTAGCTTCCTGCTGGGGTCCAACCAATTGGGACTGAACAAGATGGGCCAGACTTGCCCTGGAGCCCTCCCGTGGTCCCTCCCTGGCTGGCCAACCTCCCCTGTCCCTCCCCGGCCCTGACTGTGCACTGGTGGGGTCTCTTGGCCTAGCCTGTGCCCTCTCGCAATCTGGGACCCCTCGGGGGATGTCGGAGAGCTGGTTTTTTGCTATAGATTAGCTACTATGGTACATAGGCCTGTGACAGATATAGGAACAAAATTATTTCTGATAGATGAACACTTTTCATCTAATTGATGTGTCTCAATCTCTGGGTCTTCAGTTTGGAGAGTACCTACGTTTGTTCTGCTGTGGTACTTGGAGTACCACTAGTTACAGCCATGAGTATTACCAACATTAGTTCAAGCAACGAGCTGTGAGGGCCAGAACAGAGAGCCACAAGTTCCACCAAACCTTTCTGAAAGGGATTTCCCATGGACTCTCAGCAGTGTTACAGTAGTTCTGATCACAGCAGTGTCACGGTACTAATTCTACACTGTAGTAGCAGAATAGTAGTATCTCTGGGCACAGAGATAACTATTAAAAAATCTGCAGAGACTTTGAGAAAGAGACCCCACTGGGTGCTGGCAAGATTTCTTCACCACTTCATCTCCTTTGGTTCTCCATTCCACTTGTAGCTCAATTTCTCATTTTCTACTCTTAACTTGTCTAGCCTAATGACTACTCACTTCACGACAACTGCAAAAGTAACAATGATTTAAAAAACACACACATTATGGAATAAAATATAAACCAAATATATAAAAGTACAATTTTCACATCTATTTTGGTAAATCCTGCAGCCCAGGCAAATAATCCCATGCCATTTTCATTTCCTTAGGTTAATTCTCACTGAATACTAATTTGATATATTCAATATAAGATCTAATAAAAAAACTAAATCTGGATATTTAAACATGCTTTATTCTCTCTATTCTGTGAGGTAGTAGGTAGACATATGTATTTATAGATTCTAAAATCTCAGAACTATAACATGGGCTGAATCATAAAATGCTTATCATTATCGTAGAAAGATAAGCACTAATCACAAATGAGTTTGCACATGGAAGATATGATACATATTTAAAGACATATTACATTATTTCACATTTGACAAGCAGTATAAACGGTTAATAAAGTTTTCAAATTAAACAATTATTCCAGCCCACAAATATTTAATCAATATATAGGATTGCATGCAGTTCTTAAAGCACACAGAGAAGCAAGAAAATGATCATCATGATTTGTATCGATGGTATGATTAAACATGACATTATGGACACCGAAAATAGATTTCATGTAAAGTGGATGTATGAATGTATAATGTAAACACCTCTCAGTTGCATCTAGAGTAATACATGAATAAGGTTTTCCCTTGTGTGGGAAAATTATAGTAGTCCTTTGCAGCTATGTATGTGCATATGGTTCCCTCCTTCCGGCAGGCAATCTGCATTAGGCTCTGATAGGTACTCCTTTAATTTCCTGCCATCAGTTTTATCCTCTCCTCTTTTCTCATAAAGAGGAATTTTCCTCCTAGCCTTTCTGAGATTTTCAACAAACAGCTTTTTCCCTTCAGCCTTTAAATATGATCAGGTGCCTGCTGTCTTAAATATTCCCTTCCAGAGTCCACCATAATTCTATCTTTTCTTTCAAAAGGAAAGTCCTTTTTTGAGTTTTCTAGATTTCTGTCTTTATTTAGTCTGTAATGAGGGGAACCGATTTTAGGATAAAGCTAACAGTATGGATGGAAGAGTGAGGAGGGAAATACTAGTAACTTAAGTAATTAATATTATATAAATCTGAGCCTTTCCCTACATTTTGACTTTGTTAGCTAAGCATTTCCTTAATGTTCAAGGCTGTTTCCCTTGAATTTTCTATACCTTGCAAAGGAAAGACTCCACTGAAAAAACGATTTCTTCTCTGTTCTTCCTAGAAACATCTCTGAAATGTTGGTGTTCCGTGGAGTTCTATGTCATCCATCTACCTCACTCATGGCTCAATTTGATGACTGCTAAGTTTGAATCTCCAACTAAGATTTCTCTCCTGGCCCAGCTGGTGTGGCTCACTGACTGAGCATCAACCCATGAACCAGGAGGTTACCTGTTTGATCCCCAGTGGGTGGGGAGGGAGGGTGCAGGAGGCAGCCAATCAATGTTTCTCTCATCGATGTTTCTATCTCTCTATCCCTCTCCCTTCCGCGCTCTCTCAAATCAATAAAAAACATTAAAAAATATTTTCTTCCTGAACTTCAGATAAATATATCTAAACATCCACTAAACTTTTCCACTCAGATGCCTCAACAATACATCAAATCAACATATTAAACTTAAGCGCTCTCTCTTCACTTCCATTTACTATTCTTTTTGTATTTCCCATCTCAGTGCATATCGTCACTCACTTGCCCAAATTAGAAACCTGGGTATCAATCAATTTTGGAACTGCCCTTTATCTCTTATGCCTCATGTCCAGTGTAACATTTAAGAATATATTGAATCAATGCATTTCTCTCCATCACCTATTACTTCCATATACTCTCCCCTGAATTACAACAGACGTTTCTTAACTGGTTCAATTACCTCTAGTCAGTCTCCTCTCCAATTCATTCTCTGAAAAGCTATCAGTGCTCATTAAAGAAAAATTTAATCATGTCTTTGCCCTGTCTCAAATAGTTCAATGTTTCCCTTCCCATTTCCTTCACTATAAAGCTCAGCATGATTTGGCTTCTGCGTATTCCTCCAGCTTTATTTTACACCACTCTTCATTCTGAACTTCCATTAGTTTCTTAACTAAACAGGTGTGTGCCCTCATAGCACTGTATTCCATCTTCACAGCACTAATCATACTATATTATAGTTATCTACACTGCTGAATATTGCTCAATAGGCAGATTAATAACATGTGTAACACCTGCAAATCAGGGTGTTCACAATTATTTGGGGTAAATAATTTGATTTTTATATATATTAAAAGTACCGAGCTCATCATCAAGAGGGAAATCATCACCTAGGTTAGAAAGAGTTTGTGATTATGTAGTGCATATGTAAGTTATGAATCACAGTTACAAAATGAACACTCATGAACTTAAAAACTAGAGTGTAAGAACCACAATTCACCTTAAAAAATAGAACAGTACCAATAATACCAGTTTCCTCCCTCATCCTACCCCCAGTTTTCCCTTTAGAGATAACAATAATCCTAAATTTTTTGTTAACTGTTTCCTTATAAAATTAGTTTTTTCAATCATGTAATTATGCCTAAACAATATATTTTAATGTTGCTTATTTTTGAGATTTATAAATGTGGTATTTTTGATGTGTGACATCTTCTGAAACTAATTTTTCACTCTAATTACATTTTAAAAATTTATATACATTATCATAATTACAGTTAAGTAATTTCCATGGCTGTAAAATATTCCTTTGTGTGAATAGCAGAATTTGTGTATACACTTTCCTGGTAGATACTGTGTTTTTTTTCAATGTTCAACTATTCTGAATATTTAAAGTATCTGAATGACAGGTACAGGATTTTTTTCTAGAATATCATCTCAGGAAGAGAATTGTTGGAATGTAGGGTCTATGCATGATTAGCTTTATAAGATAATTTGTTATCAAACCATTGTGATTTTTATTTCCACTAGCAGTATAAAAGTTTCCATTGCTCTTATACTTGCAAACAGCTTCATTTTTTATACTTAGTTTTTCCAAATCTAGCCAGTGGAAAATATCATCTTTTTTTTTGCATTTCCTTGATCAAATGATTCAGTTTTTTAAATATTTATTCACTCTTCTGATTTCCCCTGTATTTATAATTTAAAATATTCTATTGTATGTATTTTCTTATTGATTTGTAGGAGTTTAAAAACATATATTCTGGAATACTAATCCTGTGTCCCGCATATATCTCACAATTATCTTCTCTCAGTCTTTTTTAATGCTCTTTATGGCAACTTAACGTGTAGTCTTATGATTATCTACATATCACTCAGCCTATCTCACTAGACTAAAAGGTCCTGGAAGTAAGACACCATATCATATTCATTTTTGTTCCCCAGCACCTAGTAACTGCTCCAAACATAGTGTTACTTGACTCACTGTTTATTAAATGAATGATTGGATGAATGAGTGACTTTTAGTAATGTGAATCAATCTCTTTGTAGTTAAATTTCATTTCATGCCCAGCCGCGTGGCTCAGTAGTTGAGCATCAGCCTATGAACCAGGAGGTCATGGTTTGATTCCTGGTCAGGACCTATACCTGGGTTGTGGGCTTGATCCCCAGTAGGGGGTGTGCAGGAAGCACCCGATCAATGATTCTCTCATTGATGTTTCTCTCTCTCCATCTCCCTTCCTCTCTGAAATCAATAAACATATATTGAAAATAAAAATAAAAAATGTCTAAATGTTTAAAAAAATTTCATTTCATACAAATTGGCTACATCATAATGCTGAAGCCAAGAAAGTCAGAAGTATATGTTATACACCTTCCTGTAGTTGCATGTCAAAGATGGGTGTCAGGCACTAGTAAGAGGTGCTAGTATCTGCAGAGAGGCAGCAGAATGTTTGTAAAAATTTATTACCAGCTCTGAACATTTGGCAATGTTCATTTTTCATCCTTTTCAGTGCACTTATAATTCTTATAGTGAAATAATATTTAGCCTAAATTTGTCACAAAGTTAGAAATGATGTTAAGATATAAGATATGGATTACATATTACAATGGATGTGCAAGGCTCAAGGTTTGTGTCATCAACTTAAAATTGGTTACCTTTTTAGTAATGGTGTCCGGAGGTACATCCCGCCTCCCAAGAGGATAAGGATTCCATTGGCCACTAGGAGATACATCTTCTTGTCCATTGTCTAAAATGTTGCTTTGCTGGGACGGGGTCTATTGCAAAAATGGTATGGCATTCTTTAGTGATGTAATAGAAGTTTAATCATAGTTTTCTGAAGAGAGTCCCTAATGATTATGGTAAAATTAATTTTGTTTAACTGCAAAAAAACTCCATACATCCTGAATTGGAAGTATTACTATATACCTTTTACTCAGTAAAAAATTCTAAATTGACAGCTTTCTGGAAGCAGTGAGAAATTTAACTAAAGTAACATTCTTAGAGTTACATACTGAAATTTAAGAAAAAGTTTAGATTATTTACAGTACCTGAATAAAAATAATCAAAATAAAATTAACCAACTGATAAAAACCACAACATTTAAAACTTGCTTGTTTCTTGAGTATGCTACTACCATTTAGAGTATAAATTGAAACCATAGAAACACAGTATGTAACTCTTAATATTTGAAACCATAGCCTAACACAAATTTTATAAGGCTGTACTGATTCTGGGAGCATATACCTTGCGCTAATTCAAAGGAGTGTTAACACTAGTATAGTGTATGTAAGATTCATGGTTATATGACATTATCTACAGATAGCTATGAGAGGGAAATTAAAACAACATAAAAATATTGTATTATTAGAATCACAGTATAAATAAATCATGACTTTTAATTCAAAATTTATTTATATAGGTCACATGCATTAAAGTTTAAACTCTTCATATATATTTAATTTTTTGCTGATTTACTGATTATTATTTTTAACAAATAATAATTTCTCTGTCTTTATTATTATAATATTAGATATTTGGGGGGCGGTCCTCCACAGTCTGACCTGAATATTAGGAAGGATTCACACACCATGGAGGATATAATAGTGGGATATTTTTCTTCTGAAAGCAGATTAACTTTTCACAAAGCCTTTCTCCTCCCTGAACCTACAAGATACACAAGTACTAAACTTGAGTTCCTGAGAAATTCTTATGGGTGAGATACTATGTTTAGTGTTCCCTATCCCACTTTATGTGGATGTTTTTAAGGATCACTACAGACAAATAAAGCTGAGTTACAGCATGTATGTGCAGCTCTACTCTGTGTGAAGTATTGTCCTCCAAACCCAGAATGGGAGAACTAGACCATTCTCTTTATAACATGGCAGAAATGGGCTGCTTGCTAGGCTTCCTCTGATTACATGGAATAGTCCTAGTTGTTCTCCTTTAGAAAACAATTATACAACCACTCTATGTATATTCTGACTGCATGCATTTTTTAAAAGCATTGCTTGGAGTTACTTGAAAATCAGATTTGTTATGAAACTAGATGAAGCTTTCCTAAGGCCTAATGGACATAGTGAAACATAAGAAGATAACTCAGTTTTCTTCTTATTCTTTGGCCATGTGAATTTCTTTCTCATGAGCCTATCTGAAAGAGTGAAAAAAGAGAAAAGGTATTGAATTGAATCTCCTGGGTTAGCTAGAAATGAATTTGTGTTTCTTTGGAAACCAAACATTAACACATTTAAAGTATATATTACTTAAAAAATAACCAGATAACAATTCAGGGTCCATCTGTTTGTCTTTAAGCATTAATTTTCTAGTCTTTGCCTTTTCCAGATTATTATTTGGGCATATGTCCCCAAACAATTTTTTTAGATATTAAAATACGACAACTCAAATTATTAAAATTAAGCAGTTAAAATATAATCATTCAGGATAGGCATTACGGGCCCATGGTTTTTTCTGGCTGGGTTTCTGTGCCAGAGAAGTGGGATAATAAAGTGTTCATCTGGCTAGGTCTGTGCAACACAGACTTTTTGAGAGTTCAATACAGGTATCTTTCTCTTTTCCTCCATATCATGCCATCTCTGTTTCCTCCACTAAACTTGGTTCAGCTGGCCAGATATGACTTCTAGTCACAGAGAGCAACTGATAATTGCAAAATTCTTTCTGGCGTAAAAAAAGGAGGCTAAAACTCTTTAGTTAAATTTCTAATTTTATGATGATATAGGCTCTTCATTAGTTTAGGAATTAATCTTTTTCTCTTTAAAATTAGGATCAGCATGCATACCAATTTCTCTCTATTATGGCCAAAGGAAACAAACATGCAGACACATAAAGAATTACTTTCACTAGACAGCGAAATTAAAGAAATAGTCTGAACAAAATTTCCTTTATTAATTTCAAGAATGTTTTGGTCTTTTTGTTTTTAAGTAAGACATCCTAGGGGTGACTTCAGTTTGCAGAAATAGAGTATGGGAACAATTTATTGTTTGGGAAGGGGGAACCCAAAAGAGAGTTATATGGTAGGTTCACATTATTTCCCAAAATGAGCATAGACATTAACAAAAAATTGTACTCTTGATAAAGTGCTAATGAACCAAGTATAAATGGATTCGCTCAGTTGTTAAAATTCCACAGAAGATTAAAAGGAGCAATTGAAAAATATAAAAAAAGTAATGAAGTTATCACTGTTGAAATTTATTATTTCAGAGAAAATAACCGAATTGATGTTCAGTTATTCATTTATTTTTAGTATCATATTCTAGATATTTTATTTATATACTTTAAAAGATTAAGAATAAATCTTATCCTTACCACATGTAACCAATTAAATCTAAAGGACATGGAAAATCATCACCTGCAGCATTCTCTCAGCTTCTAAATTCTGTAGATATTCAATATTTCAAAATAATAGAGAAAATGGTCAGTATGATTTAGTGAAAAATCAAAAATTGTATTAAGAAATTAATTAATGCTAGTAAAAGTTTTGCTGAATAGGTTCTGGTCCCAAAGATTGCTGCGGACATTTGTAGATTTAACACTGCTGTGAATGATCACAGGTGTCTATTGGAAGAAGTAATTTCTAATTTTGCTGAGACATAAATGTGCATGAGTATGTGTGTGTCTCTATATATCTGTGATTGTATATGAGTGTGTGCATGCAGGTGTGTCTGTATGTCTCCATATGTGAGTACGTGTATGTACAGGATTCACAGGTAGAAGTAAATGAGCTTAGCTGATCCAATGGCTTTGCTCTTGTCTGCTAATTAATGGGTACAATAAACGCTTAGTGCATTTCGTCAGGGGAATTATATAAGTGTGGTATTACAATTTGGCACTTTGAAAAGGTCTTGGGATATATCCCTTAAGATCTCAAGGATCTATTTTGCTCAGTAATTGTTACATGATTCATGAAAGGCATTGCCATAGATTCAAAAAATGCCTTAAAATTAATTTTCCTCAAAATATTTCTGGCAAAATTATTGTTATATTATTTTTTTCCTGCATATTTTTGAAAAAATTCGGTATTATAAAGACAACTATATGCCAAGCTTGAATCTAAACTATTATGATATCACAGGGTTCAATCTGAAGGTGGTAAGGTCATGTCAACATGATTCTTAAACCAGCATTTTATTACAATGATGAAGAAGCATCTGTATAGATGCTAAGATTATTTTGGTAATTTTAGCTCCTACTGATGAAAATGTATGTGGTTTATAAGATAAAAGTATTTTGCATAATTAGGAAGTTAAGAGAATCCTTCTTGAGGGTAGGTAGCCAATAATAAATGCAGCAAGATCAATAGAAACTGTAGGCATAAACTGTCCCTAAATGGCATCAAGTAAGTAATCCTTGGAACTGGGGTAAATAAATGCATGTAAAATGTTGGCACTATTTGATCCTGAGTCGTCTGCATAGATGCAGTAATAAAGGACATTAGAAATTTTAAAATCGTTTAGGTACAAGTATTGCTATCTAAACTTATTTAATTCAAAATATAGAAGAATGAGTATTAACCAGCAAAACAGATAACATTTTCTTCCAGGAAAAATTCTATGAAAAGATGATTTAATACAGATATTTCTATAATTTCACCATCCCTTCTCTTGAAATTATAACTTATGTTAATATTTGTTTTAATAATCCAATAAGCATTAGGTGCTATGGTACAATATTATAGTGGGAGACGTTAAAAAAAGAAAGAAAAGGAAACAAAGTATCAATTGCTCCAGTGTAGAAGAGACCACGCCATTAATATTGGCAGCTGGAAACCTGCAAACGGAAGTTAGAAACGGCCAATGATTTCTTCCACATCCCTGCTTATCCCTGGGGCTGCAGTAGCATGGATGATTAATTTATGATTTTCTTGGGTTCACAACCTTTGGCCTTTGACTGCTACCAAGCATATTTCTAAGCGGTAGTAAGTGCTCAGGAAGTGCAAGAGGATCTTAATAAGTGCAAGGTAACTATTAGCATTTAGTAAGCTCAGCTAACTCAGAAAGCATGTGTCTGTTGCACATAGGGGAAGATTTGGGTCATGATATGTTTTGGATAAATGAATATATCCTACTTATGTGTTCTTTCTTTCACCCCGTGATATCTACTTTTCTGGATTGTTATGAAGATGATGTGGGATAATAGTGTGTACAAGAGAGCTTTATCAACTCTTATGAGCTATGTTCTAAGGAAATGCCAGGTTTTACAAACATTCCAGAAGGCATCACCATATAGTAAACAGCAGGAACTTGGGTGCCAAGCAGAGTCAGATTCCAATGCTAGCTGCCCCTATGCTAGGGACAGGGGTTACAATAGTAAAACAGTAAAAATACAAGTGACTTATTTTCTGTGACACATGAACCTCAGATTTCTCATCTATATAATGAAGATAAATACTTCCTATGAGAGTTTTTGTTAGAGGTGGGTGAAAAATATAAAGTACCTCATTGTACCAGGTACATAGTAGATAATCAATAACGTTTATTCTTTATTCTTCTCCTATCAAAATATTTATTCTACCATTAATCTGGGTAATAAAAATGGTAGTCTGAATTGACATTTTACAATACAGTTGACCCTTGAACAACACATGGTTAGGGGTGCCAATTCCTTTGCAGTCGAAAATCCACATATACTTTTAACTTCCCCAAAACTTAACTACTAATAGCCTACTGTTGACCGGTAACCTTACTGATAACACAGTTGATTAACACATATTTTGTATGTTATATGTATTATATATTGTATTTGTACAATAAAGTAAGCTAGAGTAAATAAAATGTTATTAAGAAAATCATAAGGAAGAGAAAATACACTCACAGTATTTACTGAAAAAGATCCATATATAAGTGACCTGTACACATCAAACCCATGTTGTACAGGGTCAACTGTATTATATTTCTCTCTGATAACATAACATTTTAAGACAATAGCTAAGTTCAATTACAACAGAACACATCCGAAGAAGCACATAGAACCATTAATAACATCATAGAAAGTTGCCTTAAATGCTTTTTGGAGCGGCAGTAAATAAAAAAATGAATAAATGAATGAATGAATGAATAAGTAGATAGAAAATATAAAAGTTTATAATTTAATAGATGATTTATGTCTTAAATGCTCTGATCATAAGTATCATTACTTTTTTAAGAAATTGGAATAATCATCAATAAATGAGAATATTAGTGAAAATTAAATTTATTAAACTAATGTTGTTATATTTTTTCACATTCTTTTAATATCTTAAGAGGCTCCATAAAATTAAATTAGAAAATGTAATTTACTGTTTATCATATGGAAAGTCTTTATTTAGCTTGTAATTCATGAAAAATGTGCAATACTCAACCTAGCATAGAATAAATATGAAAATGGAACTATTCAAAACACATAGAAAAATCTGGGAGAGTCTTCCCTTTCTGTCCACGTAAATATTCACTGTGTAAATACTTTATCAAGAACAGAGTCTTTAATCTTCATTCACAAATAGTTATATCCTTTCATTAGTTTACTACAAATTTATTTAAAGAAAGTTGAGAAGAAAAAACAAACTAGATATGTTTTGGCAAACTAAAAAAAACCCAAACCAAAAAAAGAAATAATGTGCTGAGTCAGGATCTCAGCTTACACAAATGACACCTTTCTGTCAATTACCAAAATGGAGATGGTGGGGAAGGTAGGAATCACAAAAAGGCCCACTTCTCTGGGTGCATAACTTACAAAAAGACAGTCTTATGGGGGGAGGAAATACACAAAGCTGCTCCTTTCCTCTAATTACCAGAGGTAAGACTTGGCAAGCAGGGAGCATGGGAAAAGTCTATATCTCAGCGCCTGAATGTCCCCTTGGCAGGGCACGACCACAAAAGTATGCTGCAACTTTATTTCCCTTGCTTAACTTGTAATATGTGAAAAATGTTAATTTCGATTCCTTAGGATACTTAAATTCATTTTTTCTAGCACCTAACTAGAGATGGCTAATATTATCATTCAGGAATTTTATGAATAAAAAGACAGTGCTAGTGTTTCCACAGGAGAATGGACAGCTTTGTCAATTTTATCTGCTGAAAAACGCATGCTTATAAATTGACCTTATTTTGTATTTTAGTGGAATTCTTGTGGCCAACAAATATTTAGGGGCTGCAAAGAAATTGTAGATATCGGATATTAATTTTTATTATCTTAAGAGGCAAGACAAAAGTGTTGAGATGGATGTTTATGCATTTGTAAATCAAAGGAAAATCATTTTTGTCCATCTCCTTTCCTGTAGAAAAGAGTTCAGGGAAAGTGAGCCCCAAGCATGGGATCAGTTAGCAACAGTGGTCAGTGGATCCAAGAAGGGGGATTCTGAGAGTCTGCCTCTTAAGAGTGATGATGGGAAAGCCTGGCAGAAAAACCAGACAGAGTTTCTAATTAAGGAAGCTCTGCAGAACAGATGTACCTGCCCAAAGGTGAAGGGGCAGAGAATTAGACTGGAATCCATGGGAGGAAGCAGAGGCTGGAGGAGTCTCAAAAGTGAGTAAGCACCACTCAATGTCACATATGATGGAGTTCCTGCAATGGCGGCAGGGTAAGAAAGTTGTCCCAGATGCCCAAAGGCCTAAAGTTTAGACACCTTAAACTGATAGTTTGGGGTCATGAAATCTTTTGGTGGTAATAGAATACTTGCCCTGCCTGTGTTCCTTTTCCATCCCCTGCCTTCTTTGTCTCTCTCTCTTTCTCTCTTTGTGTGAATAATGCAGTATTGACGATAATTCATTTTCAGATGGAGTCTTGCAATAACTGAATTATTCTTGATTTGCACTTTAATGTAGCTTCCAAAGAGAATTCCTTTAGGTCATCTCTGTGCCCAATGGAGGAAGGTTGAAGAGTCTCTAAATATTATAACTCTGGAATATTTCTGTTATAGATCATCCTAAAACTATAGTAAGCATAATGAATCCATTCTCTAGGGTACCCCAAACAACATCAGAAAATTAATATAGCAATACAGAGGTACCTAAATTATATCTGGAGATAATTTAGACGTTCAGAAAGAGTGCTTCAAAGTATATTACCATTTTTAGCACTGAATATGTCTATATTATTCTATAGAGTGATAAGTAAATAGGGCTAAAAATTAGGCAGAATAAGGAGCTATTTATATGGTATAACTTTAAGGGATTCAAGCAATAGCTTCCTTCATACCAAGACCTCTCTAATCTCACTGAATTTTGAAACTCAATCATTTTAGTTTAAGGGTTTCATTTCTATTACTTGTCAAGCCCTCCAGGAAAGGTGCCTATTAAAATTGTGACATCTCATCTATTACTTAGTGCAAATAAGTTTCAAGGCCTTTTGGAAAACTGGTTTCCTTGTGGCCGAGGATGAGAGCCTTGGGCGTAGGAGAGAACATGAAACAGGCTCCATAAAAGCTGGGGCTCCAGCAAAAAGGGCCTCGCAGATAGTGGTAGGTGGAAGCCGACTAGTATTAGCTCATGAGAACCATTTGTACTCAAGCCCCAGTTCTGAGTTCAGCGGTGTTACGTTAGTACTTTGAAACCGTCTGTACAGGGAGTATTTATATCGCTGACATTGGCAAACATCAGAAATCATGGCCATGTTTTTCTCCCTGGAGAGGAAGTTACTGACACACCACTGGTCCTGCAACAGGAGACCAAGGACAAACAACACTCAAAGGTTCTTAATTTAGTTTGTTTTTTTCAAAGTGATGATACATTTGTGAATATAAATATCTCTTTGATTTTATTTCTCTACTCACAGTGGGAAGCAAACAATCCAGAGGTAGAGATTGTTTTTAAGACTAATTTGACAATAAAACCTGAATTTGAGGTCTTTTGACCCTCATTTTGCTAGGATGGGAGTTTGCTCCATATGGTCATTAATTTTATTAGGAGGCTACTGTCACTCTGTTATTCCCACTTTGTATTGCATTTTTCCCCCTAAAAAGTTACGAGGCTAATGACTATATTTATAATAAAGTCTTAGTGACATATTGTGTAAAAATGACTCATTAGTATCCATCAAAATGTAACCAAGACAGAAGGCATTAATCAATTTAAACAGGTAAAATGTACATTCTCAGTTTTGCTTGAATAAAATGAGCAGAAATGTTCCTTCGCCAATGGAAATGTTTCATCTTACAGTGTAGTCTCTTTCAAATGAGCCTACGTGTTCTTTTATTAGCCTAGGTTGAGTAACAATTTGCTCGGGAAGCCACAAACTTGTATCTCATGTTTTACTTCTGTGCAGTATTTCCTGCAAGGAAAACAGGCTGAAAAAGCACTTAGAGGTACTGACCACTTAATTTCCATTCCAATTGAGGACTCTGTCTTTTCCAAAGGAATAAACAGAAATCCGGTTATAATTTTTAGCTCTGTTCTTAGAATGCATCAGCAAGTTAGAGGCTATCTAAAGAAAGATATGTATGAAAAAAACAACAAAGAATAAGAGAAAAAGAAAATGAGTAACATGAACAATGAGCCTTAAAGCAACACAAAAAGCCATGTGCCTGCTCAATCCAAAAAGCAAAGCTGTAAAGCAGGAACCTGATCATCAGTCTAGCTACAAATATTCATTTAGCAGCTAAGAAGAGTTCAGGCTCTACATTATGTGCCCTGGTGCTTTAGGGACTCGTGAGAGTCTATGAGCAGGGCTGTATGTACAGCCTAAACACAGTAAGTAAGCAAATTTTCAATGGCTTTGGTATGCTGACACATGTAGGGCAGTCCATACTTACTTTCTGAAGAGGTAGTTCTTGTAGATCAAATTTAGACTTAGTCTGCAAGTTTAAAGTCATGCTTCTGCCTGCATGCATTGCTGAAATACCTCCATAGGGCAGCATGCCAAGGTTAACTGTGTTGTGTTTGTAAGCAGCGTTCTGAGTAGAGGAGATAATCATGTGACAGGGTGTGAACACATGCTCAACAAACTGATTATAACATGAACATGTTTCAATTTATCACATTTAACTTTAAGCGAGCAAACAGTAACTTTCTTTTCAAAACATGCACTCGATCAGACAGAAGCAAACGGTAAACAGTGTTAGTTATGCACATAATGAGTACCATCCAAAACTACAGAAAAGACAAAAAGCAAAGATACATTCTGTTTTATATTTGCTGCTAACTCAAAGGCATAAAATCTATCTCGTATATCATGATAGCAGTTATTTTGGACAGATGTTGTTTATCTGTGGAAGTTTATCAATTAAAAAAGTTTAAACAGTGAAGTCAGTAAACTTTTGTCAGCTGCAAATCTCATGGTGTCTTTCACATTATGAGTTCATCACATACAAAAGACAAATACTAGCTTCTGATCCTGCCTTAAAACTGATGCACTCAATGTTGCAGCCAAAATCAGTTTATTTTATTTCTCAGTTTATAGGCTTACTTACAGCAACTCAGAAAAAGAGCTGGTCAAAAGCTTGTTCAATTTGACCACTGGCTGACTGAATTTACAGATTAATTTAGTCAAACCAGTCAAGTAAGTTGTATGAGGATCCAAATATTCTAACTTTTTTATTTCTTAAAAATTACATTTAAATTGGAGAAATTTCATAATGAAACTAAAGGAATTATGATTTGAACTATTAGTGCTACTTATATACTACACCTAAATAACTATAGAAAACTAGTACTGTTTTAATTGTGGCTACCCTTCTAAAGTTATTGCAAGTGTCTGATAGTTAATTTTTTTCTACAGAACTTCATTTAAAAAATTCAGATATTTTGGGTGACTGGTCATCAACTAGTTTTCATAGGTACAATCTCTACTTTCCACTTATAACGGAAATGTAATATCTAAGTATTTGATCCTTTAGGTAATTCTCTTATTTTGAAAAAAATATCTACAGAAGTTAACTTAATATCCTTTTAAAAAACTGAACACTAACAGTAGACAGCTACTCGACTCTAGGACATTATTTGCAAAGCAATGATTTTTAGCATCAGAGTTTCACTGACCAATAAGATTTGTTATGGATTTTTGATTGTTTTATCCAGAGTTTTTTCATTATCACTATGCCAAAATTGAAAAGGACCCTGAACAGTTCAGTCTAGCCCTTGATTTCTTAAGGATTAAAATCACCCCATCTAGTGCTCTATCAGCTCCTCTAGAAGAGTCGCAGTCTCAGACACATGGGTTCATGTTTTAATTTCTCTCAGTCACAGTGGGGCTCTGTGGTGCAAGCTTGAGCCTTGAGGTTAAATTAGAGGAAAAACGGACATCTTTTATCCAGCGTTGTACCTGGAGCTGCCTCTCCAAGTACCGACCCAGAGCTTTAACCAATATCATGTTGGTCTGTTAAGCTTATCGGAGCTTAAAGGCAGTTCTGTTTTATGAGGACTGGACAAAGATCTATAGTTTCCAATGTAACTATTTGATTTCCAGGGTTCAAATTGATCAATTAAATTTCACTGCGAAAGAAGCACAGCACGTCTCTGGTGCAATCTGACTTTGGACAGAATGTTCAGTAGCACAGCTATGTCAAAACTAGTTTTAGGCAACACATCTGTGCTTCAGAACCCTGGATTCATCTTGTTGAGTAGCTGAGAAATTTTAAGTACGATACAGCCTGAAAAACTCAGTACGTCAATTGAGAGGGAGCGGAAATCTTATTTGGAAAAAATTAGAGGAAGAGCTTCTAGGATTCAATGACTTGAAGCAATTCTCTAAGGCAATTTAATGTCAGAATTAAATGAGAAGCTATTAACATACATTGAAGTTGCTCTGAAAAATGAAAGACACTAATAAAATGATAACCAAACCAGGGATACATGGAGGCTAATTGAAAAGGGAGGTGCTGTCACAGCAATGGGAAATATATGAGCTAACTCTTATGTATCTGGACTCTGGGACAGGCAGTGTCTCCAAACTTCTGGTGATCCAAACCCCCCTCTCACAGTCTTATCTTCCTCCCTCCAAATTCCTACTCCAGTTAGAGGAGTCACCTACTTGTCAGTAGCTCTGATCCAAGGAGAGAAACCATTTAGCTGGGAAACCAGTAAATGAGAATGATGGTACCAAATGTTCAGAATTTGTTTTTCTTTTTTTATGCTTTGTTTCCACTCACTCCTCTGCTGCCTCAAATTACTCATCATTGTACATACGCTCTGAAAAGCTTCTTATAACCCTTCTTGACTAGTTCATCTTACCCTGTTACGTATGGTCGTGTCTACACGAGGCCAGAGTTTCCAAACTGTACTGTATTATTTGGCCCCAAATATTTTCGCCCTCCAAGTTATCTGTCTACATGGAGGGTGTAACTTGAGGTAAGGCATGGTGACAACCGACCAGGTGTCTCCCACTGACAGCCAGTCATGAGGCTTTGATGAGGCTCCCTTCAATGGGACTGAGCACACCTATTTGAAACAGACATTCTGATGAAATACTTGGCAAGGCAGAACCAATTTCCACAGTGAGAAACTAACACCCACACCCACACTTATTAGTTCACGCTTTCCCTAACAATGATTGTTTTCTTGTCATGTAGACACGACCTACAAGCAATATAATTATTTAGAAAAAGTACACCTGAAAACACAAAATTCAAGGTTAAGGAAATATATATGATAAATGCAGTGACCTGTGCTTTCAGTAGGACACCAAGTAAAATAATAAGACTATTGAGGGAAAGACTCCAATGGTGTATTATTACCCAGAGTCCCAATTTACACTGAAGCTTTTAAACCTACAAAATGAGAAAAGGCCCTGTTTTCACAAAAAAGAGCTTTAAGATTCTACGGTCAATGCAGGGCACAGAAAGGCCACTCCATAATGATGGTCACTGGTCACAGTTCTAGAAAATGAATGACCAAATTCCTCTTAAAGAGAAATAATAGGCAACAAAAATAATTCTAGGCTTTATACATTTTTTTTACTCCTCAAATAATTATGCATTCCATGCTTCATTGTGACTTAATTTTTTATCTGAAATGGTATTCATTTCCTTTTTTGCTGCAATATACACACTAATTTGTACATTTGTAGTCTTTATAAAGACATCATCTATTTCTGTTGTCTGTAGTATGATTTGAATTTAAACATTTCTTTCTATATAAAGACTAACATTCTAAATGGCGGGATTTTTATTAAATAAAATAACATGTAGGGGGCATTCAGTGTCTGCTTGTTTTATTTTTCTGTTTCTTTTTGGGAAGATTATTACTCCTTTGAAGTAATAACTTCAGTAGTCCCAAAGCGGTAACTATATGCAAATTTTATAAACAAATTAGACCTGACTTTAATAAAAGTGTGTCCATGCAGAAAGGGGCAAAATACTCACTTTTTATGGATTCAATAAAAATCATACCCTTTAGGTCACCAGAGAACAGTTTTGTGCCTTCGGAGAGACAATTTGCCTTAATGGCTCGAAAGTGACTGAAGCACCATCCCATATAATCAAGTGAAATTCTTTCTTGCTAACAATATTTAGGCTAGATTTGATAAACAGCTCACCTACAGGTTATGGACTCTCCAAGAGCATTAAACAACATCCATGAAAAACTATAATGACCAATTCCCCGCAATATAAAGATAAACAAAATGCTGATCATCTATTCACCCATGTAGTTCATGCTTCACTACATGGACTTAGAAATGCCAATAAAATAAAACTAAAGGCAGGAGGGATATTCTTACAGAGAAATGCCAAACATACCCTGTCTAACCTTCTAGCTTCTATATGTCTAAGCAGCTGTTGTCTCCAGTCTGCCGGCATTTTACCACAGCTCTCCTCTCCCTTCACAGGAGTGGGCCTCGTCTTTATATCACTGTTATCTGATGGCTTGTCACCATAGTTACCCAAGTTATAGTCAGATGGTATTTTTTCCAAAAGAGCTGCCATAGTAGGCCTAGCTGAAACTGGTCTGGTTTGGGAGGCACCGTAACTCTCTGTACTGTAGCTTCTTGCAGACAATGGCCTCCTCTGGGTAAGGTTTTTAACCGGAAAACTTCCCGCCTGAGCTTTCACTTCTTGATATGAAGGGTGTTCGTCTTCATACCTGCCATTCCTTTTCAGGAACTGGGACTCAGTCACTGAAACGCTGCTTTGGCGATCCAGACCGCCCCTATACGGAGGTCTGCCGTACCGATCGCTCGGAGGCAGCTCGTGCGGTTCACTGACCCTTCTAAACATGGCCATTTCTGTGGCGCTCACCAGGGAGTCGGCTCTTCGCAAGAAGCCTGCCCTGGCCCCTTGGCTTGCAAACTGGGCATTCACCACGGCATCCTCATTGACAGATGGCTGGGAGAAGGAGAACATCTGCTCCATGGGCGGGTACCCTCTGTAAGCTCTCGGACTGATGAGATCCTTGGCGAGGCTCTTGCCGGGCGGCTGCATGTATTCGGAGTTGTGTTGAAAAGGGGGCGGCATCCTCTTGTCGGCTTTCACTTCCACGGCTCCTTGGGGATTGAAGCTTTGGTCGAACTGGTAGACTTTCTTGGTCATGGACGCTTTCTGTGGTTGGGGCCCTTTACTGCCTCCATACGTGAGCATCTCGTCGTCCAGCATCGGGACCGACTGGCTGCGAGACATGCTGGACATGCCGTGCTCGGGCCCCAACAGCTTATCCGGTCGCTCGTGGCTCCCTAAGTGATCACTTCCAGAAGCATAGTTTTCCAGGGGGATGTTATAAACCTTGTAGGTGCCAATGTCAATTTCATCGATACTCTGTGACTTTTTGAATTTGTTGGACTTGATGTCTTTCATGAGTGGGGACAGCCTCTCTGTGCTTTTGCTGATGGGAATGCCTTTAGAAGATTCCGGACGGCAGTGGATTTGCGAGAAGACGTTGCCAAGACTCCTGTTGGGATTGGAATCGTGATACTCCCATGGTAGTCCTGGAGAAAAAGGACTAGGTATGTCAACGGAGTCTTTCATATGTTCTTTCCTTTCAGGCAATGGGCTGGTGGTGGGGGTGGTCTCTAACTTGGAAGGGAAAGCGGTCCTGTCTTCAAAAGGGCTAGGAGTCCTGGTCCAATTCTGCCAAGGATTGGAAGGAGGCACTTCTGTTTCCGGCGTGTGTCTGTTTGCAGACTGCTCAAGCTCCAGGGGAACGCCGACAATCCTGTCCTGCCTGATCAAAGGCCTGCGTCCATGAGCAGGTGGGTTTCTAGATTTGGAACCTAAGAGAGGATTGCTGTTGGCATTCTCGCCTGTGGTTTCCTCGCCAACAAACCCTGTGTTATCATAATGTGAGCCATCAGTCCAGTTGTCAGTGAAGGTGTCACTCATTGGCAGCCGGTCAGGGCGCTGTGGTAGATTCCCTGGGGGAACAGCCTCCCGCTGGCTGAGTAATGGCTTTGAATCAAGAGGTTGTGGGAAAGGTTGTGTAATCCTGTGAAGACAATGGGAAGAAGTATGAAAATGGGTCTTTGCCAGAAAGGGAACAAGCAGTCAAGAACGCCACCGTCCTTTGTTGAACTTCTCATTCACCCATACCCCTCTTATGATTAAGAACTCACTACCATTTCATGTACAAAAATCCACCCTTTACCCTGCTCTGACTTTAATTTCTTCCTAGTAATCAACAACTTCTAACATACTATATATTTTAGTTATCTATTATATTGTGTATTATCTTGTGTCCTCTGCTAGAATGTAAACTTACTAGTATGAGGGCAGAGATTTTTTTTCTTCAGGCCCACCATTGTGGCTGGCACAGAGTAGGTATTAAAAATATATTTGTTGAATGAATGAATGAATGAATGAATGATATAGTTCTTGTATTGGTCTTGTAGCCTGTCTGATAATTAGAATCACCTGACTCCTGGTCCCAGTTCCTGGAATTTCTGATTCATGACATTTACAAACTACTGGTCGAGAGTACCTGTTCTGTAAATGCTTGGTGTACCTAATAAACCCAAACTGTCTTCAAATAAAATTTATTTGAAGACCAGGTATTGAAAATATTAAACCCATTGCATAGGGAACATACTCATGTATCTTTATCTAGAATGCATATTGTATTATGTTCTATTCGACTCTATTATTATATTATATTATATTATATTATATTATATTATATTATATTAGAGGCCCAGTGCACGAATTCGTGCACCAGTGGGGTCCCTTGGCCTGGAGTTGGGATTGGGCTGAAGCTGGCTCTCTGACATCCCCCAAGGGGTCCAGGATTGCAAGAGGGCACAAGCCAGGCTAAGGAACCCCACCGGTGCACCATCAGGGCTAGGGAGGGAGGGATGCGGGAGGTTGACCGTGGAAGGGCTCCAGGGTGTGTCTGGCCCATCTTGCTCAGTCCCAATCAGCCGGACACCAGCAGCAAGCTAACCTACTGGTCAGAGCATCTGTCCCCTGATGGTCAATGCATGTCATAGTGCTTGGTTGACCAGTCAACTGTCTGCCCCTGGTGGTCAGTGCATGTCATAGCGAGTGGTTGAGTGGCCTTAGCGTATCATTAACATATTATACTTTGATTGGTTGAACAGCTGACTGGCCAACCGTACACTTAGCATATTAGGCTTTTATTATATAGGATGACTTTTGGTCATTGGCATGTTCATACCAGTGACCACAGTATGTCTAGAAGATGTCAATTTTTTAAAACCATTTGTACAATAATAATATTGAATTATATATCTTTTATCAGTGAGCAAAAGACTTTTAAGTGTTTTTGCTAATGAAGAAAGTACCTAAATTAATCTCAGCTTATAGAAAAAAAATAATGAATTTATAAGGAGTTAAGAGTTAATATTATCATGGGCATCAGTGAATAGAAAGTTATTTATTAATTACCAAACAATTTATGGCAACAGTAGTGATATTATCAGTAAAATATGAATGAAAGTCATTGTTTAGTTATATCATACTAGTGGCCCAGTGCACAGATGCGTGCACATTGAAAGGAAATTAATTAGAAGGTGGCTGGTGGGGTGGGACTGGGTGAGAAGGGTCAGACACACCCTGGAGCCAACTTCCCTCGGTCCCTCCTTGGCCGGCTGCACCTGGGGCAGAGCTGTGGCTCAAAGGGCATCTGTGGAGTGAGCGGGGTCCCTCCGGCAGGTTGGGTCCGTTGGCCTGGCCTGCAGGGCCTGCAGGGATTGGGCTGAAACCGGCTTTCCGACATCCCACAAGGGGTCCCGAAGTGCAAGAGTTGCTGTCACTGGGCAGCTCCTGTGTTGAGCATCTGCCCCTTGGTGATCAGTGCACGTCATACCTACCGGCCCATTGGCTGGTTGCTTAGCCTTTATATATATAGATGATTATTTTTATTTGCTATTTGTAGTGTAAAACAGCAACAAGTTACAAAACAAGGAATCAGAACTGGGCAAATACTACCTCATCGAGTCGCTTTATTGTGGTCTGTATCTTTAGTTGTTTTTGTGTGTAAAATGGAGGTAATATAGAGTAGGATCCATTTTGAAAAGATTAAATACTTTCACCTGTATTCTAACTTTTCCAAGTAGTGATAAAATGATGACAGCAATGAAAAATTTATTGAACATTTACTTTGTACTAGGCATACAAGGGCTTTACATACATCTTGCTTTAATCCAGTGGTTCTCAATCTTCTGGCCCTTTAAATACAGTTCTTCATGTTGTGACCCAACCATAACATTATTTTCGTTGCTACTTCATAACTGTAATGTTGCTACTGTTATGAATTGTAATGTAAATATCTGATATGCAGGATGGTCTTAGGCGACCCCTGTGAAAGGGTCGTTTGACCGCCAAAGGGGTCGTGACCCACAGGTTGAGAACCGCTGCTTTATCCATAACACCATTATGAGTGGTGAAATGACTACATAAATATAATAAGTATTGGGAAAAAATTTTTGTTTAAAAATTTTTGTTCTGTTCTATCATCTCAACCTGTTATTACTCTACAATCTCTCCCTTAAACAATGGCTTTGCTTTATAAAATGGATTCAAGGTGCTCTTGGAAATCCCAGGGGCCTCCATTTGCTTACCTGCCCCTTCCATTTTCTATGTAACTCATGTGCTGATACAATTCCAAACTTAAGATGATTTCATTTTCATAAGTTGCTGAAAATAAACATTTGGGAACAGAAAAGAGGGAATTCTGAAAACACACCTGTTACCCCACAAAGAACTATGTACTGCATCTTTAGCTGTTGTCTGCAAGGACCCCACTTTAACCCGGGCGTTAGAGGATCCTGAGGAGGCCTGGGAAGGCGAGTAGTCTGAGTAAGTGCCTGAGGAAACACTGTTATTCAGACAGTGAGTTTTGTCAACTTCAGACTCATCAGTTGATTCTGAAATGTAAAGGGAAAATATTACAATGCTCTGAACACTGACAATTATAAACACAGAAAAGTAAGGATAAAAACAGGTAGCATATCGATAAATGTTAGAAGTACATAATTGTAAAATTTTTCTATAGACTATGGTGTATCATAATTTACAACTGGTGATTCATCATGCACATGCATTTGTGGTGTATTTTACACATCAGGTTCACAATGTTACCTTTTTTGTCCTTCCCTAGCAGAACAAGTTTGGGTGGGTACAGAGGGGTCTCAGCTAATGAAGGGTGAAGCTCCCCAATCCTCATATCATTAGCTGGATGAACAAAAGAATCCTGAGAGATATAATAATATAGGACAAGGAAAGTAAACATTTAAAACAATGGTTAACCAAGATGGCAATATTTTATTTGGTTCAGATTTAAAGATGGGGTTTCTAAAACTTAAATCCCTGTGGAGCACTGGGAGTAGTGAATCCTATGTATCTCTAAGGTAAGCCCTAATTTTTTCCTAATTTAAATGAGTACATTTATTCATCAGACATTTGTTGAATGCTGTTTATATGCCTGACACTGTGCAAAGAACTGTACAAGTTCCAAAGAAAGACAAGATGTCACCTATACTGCTGGGAATTTATAATCTAGTTGGGGAGATGAGATATAACTCATTATAGCCCAGGATTCAATTATGATAAGCCTTATATGAGTAATATGATACATATAATATAAGCCATGTAGGAGTTCTAAGGGGAAAACTTCTTAAGAGTTTTAAAAAGAAAGTATATCACTGATTAGCTGGAATTTTTTAAAATTCTTAGCTATATTAATGCAAAACTGGATCCTCTAAGTCTTGCTTTTACCACCAATCTCCCTTTTAATTCCTACTGTTTCCCAAGTGATCCCAGTTTCTCTCATTCTATCATGCTTTGTTCCTAAGCTTTCTCATATCAGTCTAGCCTGCTAAATCTTCATTCTAAATCCATTCATTGAGTGTAATGAGCAACATTGGCATGAGAATAGAACTGTATAATGACAATTTAACATGTAAAAAAATCTATAAATTTACAACTTCTATAATTCAAATTATTATTCCCAGGTAACCATGTAGTGGTAGAGAATTAGGAAAGACAAAAATACCAAATTCTCACTTTTTTCTAGATATTTTAAAAAACGGCTTGTCTATGTATCTACTGATGTAAATTTATGCACAGCAGTTATCTTTATGTCTATTGTCCCTTAATCTTTAGGTTAATTTGAAATAAAAAAAATAATTTTCAGATTTATTTTCATTTATTAGTACTTGCTAGTTTGGAACATTAATATAACACATTTGGAAATATTTTATTAATTCAGAGAAAGAATATACTTGAGGACAAAAATACAAAAAATGCGATGGGTCCTGACTGATGATTAATCTGAGAGTAATGATCAGATAGAAGCTCTTATGATAAATGTTAAGGTCTCCCTAGTGACAGGCTTAGGGCTTCGGGTATTGCAGAGAAACATCCATTTCTTTAAATCTTGGCTTAAGTTCTATCTTTTGGGTTGTTTTGGTTAGGTAGTTATGGGAATATTTGCCTGTGAAAAACCTGGGTAGACTTGATACTTTTGTTTTTGTGTTTAAAGAATATTTTAGGGGAAGAAGACTCAAGATCATCTAGTTGATCTTTTCATTTCATTTCCTAGAGGTGGATTCTGAGACTCAGCAAGGTTGACGCAGACGGACAAAAGCCCAGCATGGAGGCCTGATTCCCTGGGGCTGTAGTCCAATGACCTCCACGAATATTGTGCTGCTTCCTGGTGAGCTCAGCTGGGAGAACAGCAGACACTTAAAATGCAGTGTCAGATTTGAAGAGGGAAAGGAAAGAGTGGGATTGATGGACATACTGGAGATGAAGAGGAAAATAGGTGTTTTTGTAGATTTTGAAAGTTGTTTCAAAGAAACTTATGACAAAATTTTAAGTTGGAAGAACAGAGAATAAAAGTTTACACATCTTTGGAGAAATGTATAAGTAGAAACAGATGCAAGTTTGATAAGTGGGATCATGAAAGGCATAAAATATATAGACTTTCAAAAAAGTGTCAGTGACAAGGTGGCCTATTTCCATTTTATTCCTGCTTTACCATTTATTGACCAGGTTACCTTGGGAAAGTAAGTGTAACTCTCTACATTTTATTCAATTCATCAATAAACGAAGGTAATTGAAAATAAGAAACTGTCCAAATTTCTGTCTAGTACTAATAGTCTATAAGTACAAGTATAACTTATTTGTTGAAATAATATTAAAATACTCTTATGACATTTAATATTGAAGTATAGGCCTTTTGTTTTAGTCAAAATAACAAACCAAATAGTTGTACAATGCAGAAATGTAAATATAATAAAGGGTTTTATTTTTTTCCCCATTATGCCTTAGACATTCAATAATTATCTTATATGTTTAGATCAAACTTTCACACTTATACCCCAACTGGTTCATAGATGGCCATCTTCTCTCTGTGACCTCACATGATGGATGGAAGAGGCTAGGGAGCAATCTGGGTCTCTTTTATAATCTCATTAATGAGGGCTCTACCCTTACTAATCACCTACCAAAGAGCCCCTCCAAATACCATCACATAGGTTTTAACATATTAATTTTGGCGGAGATACAAAAATTCAGTCTGTAGCACCAGCTCTTTACATAGCTAGAAATTCCTCCTTTTTTAATTTTCAGGATAAAGATTATTACCTCAACAGAAAGGCCTTCCTTGGTCACCCTGATCAATAGGACCCTCTGATCACCCTGCTTATTTGCATTAAATATAATAAAAACACTTATTATTATTTAATTTATTAACTGCAGACTGAGTTTCGTGAGGGCAGGGCCCACGTCTGTTTTGTCCACTATTGTCCTCTCAGTGTCTAGCACAGTGCCTACTATAGAGTAGGGGCACAATGAATATGTGTTGAATAAGTGAATGACTGATATGGTCTAATGTTGTAACCCTGGTAACATGTTTTCATCCAGTCAGAAGTTTATTGAAGGCCAAAACAATTTCTCTGAATTTTTCTTGAATTAAGTGTTGGCTGCCATACCTGTACATATTTTATCCCCTGTTTGTTGAATCAAATGTATTTTCACAACATCAAACTACCATATGGCCAATAAAATAGAATCCTTCTTAACTCTGATGGTCTAATACAATATATTATGGATATGAATACATTAATATAATATTATGAGTAAAGTTAAAATATAGTGATGGAGGATATTGTGGAGTGAAGAAAGCAGGGAGAGAGGAGAGAAGGAAGAAGGGAGAAGGGTACAGTGAATAAAGCTCTGACACAAAACAATTAAAGGCCAGAAGTTCCTGAATTCCTGGTATACGAATGCCTTTGGTGTCTCAATAATTTTGATACATGGACCCTAGACTAAAGAAATACCTAACAGTCCCATTTATTAAGTAATTAGGTCCAAACTTGTATATATGTTTATGACCTACTTTGTGATATTTACTTTATTTTTAAATAACCAAAACTACTTATTAATGGAATGTGTGCACCTATTGGACACCACGTCTACCTTCTCAAACCTTGGAATCATATTAGATACTACCACTCTAATTTCTGTTTCACGTTGATTTTCTGGGGACACTTGATGTTTGATCACAGCAACTGCTTCAAGTAACTTTTTAACTGATTGGCAATGATTGCTTATCTCTCTAATTTCTTAGAGTATTACATTCTCCATCACACAAGTAACCATATGATCATATTTCATATTATATATTCTCTACTTACTTCATCTTTGTTAAGTTTACCTGGCAAGGCCCTAAATTAGTTGGGGGCTATGCACACGTTTTATATTTCTTCTTTCTCTCTCACAGTGTTTAGCACAGTGCTAATATACAGTTGGTGTTTAATCAATGCAACAAATCGATGCTCTGAAATGCAGATTTGTAAAAGAGTTTCACTGATCTAGATTTTAGAGAAAGAGGTATAGTAACTTCTAGATGTTTTCATAAAAATTAAGTATCTAATGAAGATAAAAAGGTGATAAGCAAATTATCTGAAGTGTTGATGGGATAGTGCAGAGGTGGCATATATGTAGTTGAATTCTTTTCAGACCAAACAAATTGATAAGGATGAATATCTAATTAAAAATACGGGACTTAAACTCCCATGACTAGATTGAAAAAAGCTAAATTTCAAAGTTATCTCCCCCTTTTTGTTGTTTATAGTAGTGTTTCCTAGAAGATTGTAACCTAAACACAAAAATATTTGAAAAAATTTTTGGCTCAAAATCTGATCAGGAATTTTACTGAGATTTGCAGAGTAAAAAAATCTTCAGTTAGTCTCTTCTAATGACTCATACAATAAAAGTTTAAGGTTGCCAAAAGACTATCATGAAAATGATATAATGCATGTACTGGCTGGGTGAGCAAATTATTTTTTCTGTGTATATTGGAACTTTTGGAGCTGTATTAATGCTTTTAGGCCATGAGGGTATCACTTATCTGTGATTTATTAAATGCAACTCTCATAGTTTGAAAGAGTAGAGAGACTCCATTTATATTTTGGGAAACAAAATGTACTTTTAAAGGAAGATCTATTCAGTTAAAAAAAAATCACACGTATGACTTAGTAATTCCGAAAAATCCAAACCACACTGGCAATTACCAATAACCTTGAAATACCTCCATTGTAATCTCCTTTGGGGCTACAGGCCACTTGTGTTCATATTTTTCTTTCACAGTTTGCTCCGTGTTAGCAGTTGGATTTGAATTCTCAATACGCACTCCATGGCTTGGCTTACCCACCAGATTTTGAACAGATTTTACCATATTCTTTAAATCCTCTGGGTAAGGAGTTGGATATCGTTTTAGGTTTATTTCAACCTAGAAGTTTATAAAAAGAAATTTAATATCAAAATACCTTCAGCAAGCATGTTCACAAAACTACTCCACTTTATGTGTAGTAGTAGAACCAAATGCAGTATAGTGAGTGCTGAGCTGGCTGAGAAACTGTTCTGTAGAGTAGAACACTTAGAGTTCTTCTCTTATTCTGCTTGTGGGATTTTTTCTCACCCCTGCCCACCCGTCTAGATTAAATACAATTTTTGGATTATATCCTATCTTTAGACCTACCCTATAATGATTGAAATAGCAGTACATCCAACACTTTAGTGACAGTTAATCTCTGAAAAATGTAATTGTGGCTCTCATTTGCTTTTATATTTTCTTGAGAGGCTGTCCTTTTCCCTACATAAATTATTTATAAGTAATTATTTTGATATTAAAAATATCAATGCAGGTGATGAAGGAGACCCCAAAAGATTTATAAGTAGGATGAGTTATCACTTATTTAAAAACTCAGGAGGGGACAATATCTGCTACTCAAATATGCTTCAGCTTTCTGTTAATTGGTATGTTACATCAAAAGGTAGGGTAGCTAATTCTTGTTAACATTTAAGAAAACATATTTCAGGGTGGCTTTAAATTTAATTTTTACCCTAATAAAGTAACATGCTTTGTAGATAATGTCTTTTATTTCTCTTACACTAAAAAGAAATAAAAAAATTGTGAACATTTTCTAAGACATTCTAGGCAAACGTAAAATTTGACTTATGTTTATTCAGATATTATTTCTATACTTGAACTCCTTTTTGGTGTATCAATCTGACTTTAGAAACATATATTAATGATTATTTTTCCCATTTAACTTAGAGAGAGAAAATGTAAGATATTCCATATAGAATATTGAAACATCAGAGTACTTACATGGAATAGATATAAACTATTCATGCTGATTAAAAGGGAGCAGGAGGGAAAATAAGGGGCAGATTTACATGGCCAGGCTTGTTCCAAAAATTATGCCTTTTTGTATCTGAGTAGAACCAACTTTACAAAATGGAATGGTTTATGTGATTGTGGTGAGTATGTGTCTGTGAAAGTGTGTGGGGGTTGAGGAGGAGCAAGTGGAAGAGAAGCTGAAGGAGGAAGAGTGGGAATGAGAGAGAGAAAAAGAAAGAGGGAAGGGCACAGGTATATACACCCCCACACACCCATGTAATTCATGGGATGTAAGAAACCATGATAGTGGTATAGATCTGAGGATTATGAATATGAAATCAAACACTTTTGCTCATCTGCAGTTTTAGCAAATCCACCAACTTTGTTATTCTAGTGTTTTGTCTTTCTTGTGGCTCATTTTCCTTCTCAAATATTGGCATTGGATGATTTCTAACATTCCTTTCAGTAAAAAATACAAAATTATTTTCTCAATTATTTTGGAAAGCTGATGAAAAACCAGATAATTAATTTTGCTAGTGTATGTATTGTTTAAATGTAATTTAATCTCTTATGCTCCCAAATAAATAAGGATGACATTAATAATATATAGAAATAAAGTTATAAAAATATAACTCAAGAAAAAGTTTGACTTTACAGAAAAAGTGTAAGTTGTTAGAGTGTAATATAAATACATTTCAGGGCACTTAATTTATAATGCATTCTTAAATAAACATAAAAAGAATGATATCAATGCTAGACAAAGTCTATTGGGATGCATGCATCTTGGATCTGCTGTTTAAATTGTAGTAGAAATGTTAATCACTAATTAAATCTAAGTTTAAAATTTTATTGTTGAACTTGTTTAAAAGCACTTGATATCAAAGGACTAAAAAGCAAATACTACATTTAAAACTGTAAACTATAGAATGGTACAACTATAATGCCAATTAAAACATCTTTTAATTTTTAATAATTAGCAACATATGAATGAGAAATAATTCTCAAGTAGGGCACTAAGTTAAAATTCTATGTTCCTTAAAGTATCTTCAATACTGAAATTGCTTCTAATTAAATCAAAGGCAAAAATGTGAAGCATTCTTCTTTAATTGAATTAAATACTTCACTGAATAATGTAATATATTTTTGTAGATGCTATGTCCCATCTGACACAATTATATGGCTATTTACTAATGGCTATAGTACAAATATTTTCTGTTTATTTTATAAGCAAATTAATGCAATATTTTGGTCACACCACCAGAATATGTTTGAGTATTTCATCTCTATAAATATTTTTAAATCTAGAAACAGAAGTGGATTTACCATGAAGTTAATGAAGCTTGTGCTTTAGGGCCTGTCACTTGCATGGGTTGCTTGCAAAGCCTTGTGAGAGGCCCTGCTTTATGTATTACACAGTTATTTTATATTCTTTTCCTTAAAGAGGCCCCTCTTAAAACTGTGGAAACTTCAGGTCTCATAAAACTTAGGTTTGTTCTACCTATACAATAAGCTCCTTGCTTTCCATTTATTAGTCTACCAGCAGAACCTAAATTTAAGCCAGATTTACCCTGACCAGCTATCAATTTCTACTTATATAATACTAGAGGCCCAGTGCACGAAATTCGTGCACAGGTAGGGTCCCTATTGGCTGCTGGCTGGGGCCTTCCTTTGTTCTGCGCTGTCCCCTGGTGGTCAGCACACATCATAGCGAGCAATCAAACTCCCGGTAGGTTGAACTCCAGAGAGGACATTTTGCATATTAGGCTTTTATATATATAGATGGGAGTGATAATGTCTCTCCCACACGCTTATGCTAATCTGGAGCTAAAATGAGATAATAAATGTGATAGTCCTTTGAAAATTTATAGATTCTATGCAGAGGTTAGATACTGTTTCTAATATATTCTATTTATGTATTTTTAAAATCTGGATTCCTTCGGAAATACAGATTTTACTATATATGTCTAACTGCAATACCATACTGTCTGAGTGATTTTTTTTCAGATTGCATGCAGGAACACTATCATTTATTTAGTATTTGCCATGTGTCAGGCACCAGGCAAAATGTTTTATAAGGATAGTTAACTTATTATTAGCTATTTATATAACACACATTTCATTTTTTACCACAATTTTAAATATAAATAATAAATTATTAATTAATAATTATGATAAATTATAATTACATATCATTTAATTTTCACAAGTCATTATAGCACCTGTTCCTATTTAATGGAAAAAAACAACAACCCAGGGCTCAGACAGTGTAAGTTACCTGCCCAAGATCACATTGCTAGTAGGTATCAAAGCCCAAATTCAAACTCAGGTCTTTCAGTCAAAAGTTTATGCTACACAAATATTACTTGACTCAGAGCTATTCTCTGGTACAGGTGTAGCACATATTTGTACTCTCTTGTGGAAGAAATACTATAAGTCTAAAATGTTAATTTTATTGATTAAATAACATAATTTCAATTTTTTACAACATGAAGCTAACATAATAGTTTATAATTTATTTTTAAATTAAGCTATAATTTTATAATTTTGTTATATTTGTAAGCTCTGTAAAAGCATATTTTATACCATTTCCCAGATTGTTTTTCCTTTCTACTCTTCAACTCTTGTGTGCTGTACTTTAGAAATGAACAAACATGATCATAAACACAATTATATTAATAGGTCAGCAATGCCCAAATACAAAAGCAGTTTCTTTATATTTCTAAATATGTAGGCTAGGAATATTCCTTTATTCTAATATGGGATAAATATATATGTTCATTCACTTATTATACACATAGGTGGAAAAAATCTGTCAATTATGCTCTTACCAAAATGTTGTGTATATCACTCACCATAAAGTATTTGCTCATTTCACATATACATTTTACTAAAATGCAAAATTTTTACTGAAATGCTATTTTACTTAAATTTTGGAAAATAGAAGCTTTTCATAAAATTCTATATATCTTAGATCTAAATAAAGTGCAGTAAATGCAAATAGCAGCTGCAAGATGTTGGAGACTCCCCAAAATGTAGCAATGAAGAAAGAATTAGTGTTAATAGCTAGGGCATTTAGACGTGATACTTGAATTCACACAGAACTGTGCTTTTCTTATATAATGATTAAATTCTATTTTGGTTTGGTTGTAAATTCCAGTAAGAGAAATAATAGTTAATGCTATGATTATTAATTGTTAAATATCTTATTCTAGGAATTAATTAGAACATTTTAGACACAAAGAAAACATATAGCAGTTTTAGTTAGGAAAATGCATTCTCAGCTTGCCTTATATTGCAGAAAAAATATAAGACAATAAGAATCTAGTCCATTACATGTGGATGGTAAAGTTTACAAAAAATGCAGTGTTCTTTCACATCCCATCAAGACTCCCCCCACCATTAAACTCTTGAACCCAACCCACAGAGATAAAGAAACCCTATTTGCCACAACTCCCAAACCAGTCTTCTCTTACAGGAATTCTCATCATCTGTGCCTTCAAATTAAAGGTAAATTGATGCTTTTCAACAGACACCATCTTTGTGCTTAAAGTTCACTCTCAGCAAATCTCAATTTAAATCTCAATCTATTTTAAGAATCAAGTTTAGTTATTTAATCTCCCCCAGAATTAATATTTTTAAAAAATGTATGTATGTGTGAGGACAATTTAGATTTTTCTCAATAGCGTCATCAACATTCTGCTTGACTATTGGTATTCCCACACTTTAAAGAAAAATAAACCTTTAAAAATAAAAACATAAAAAATGAAGCACCCACCTCAAAAACCATGCCAGTTATCCCCCCATTAGGCACTTCATATTATGTTCCCTCCCCTCTGACTCAGGTCTCCCCGCCCCATTGCCAATGTCAATGAACAAAAATTAAATGGGGATCAAACATTGGCAGTTGGTACGTTTCTATGATCAACATTTCTTACCCCAAATCATGCAGAACATACCCCTTAAACCACTGTTCCAAGGTTGCCTCTACATGGGGGATTCTCCTACCCCAAACACCTAGGCCTACCTGTCTGCCACTTAGAGAGGGAAGAGTGGTGGATTGTGCTGCAACTGGCAATGGAGTGCACATGCTCCTTTCCTGCTGGAGGCCACTTATACAACCCCATGCCAGCTGTGGGTCATTCTGGGGGACGGGCATATCTTGGATCTGCTGATCACACCTGGCCCATGGTGTGCAGCAATCGCCAGACAGTCTGGCAGGTTGGAGAGTAATCCCACGCTGGCCCCTTTCCCAGGGGGCTTGGCAGGAGTGATCCTGTGGGAGAAGGAATCTCCATTTTCTGGGAGAAAGAGGAGCGCTGTAGCAATACTTTCACTTTATCATTTTTCTACTCTTGATTTTTTTTTCCATTCTGGGTAATGCATTTAAAATAACCATCAGAAAAATTAGTTTTAATTCCTGTAATAAAATGGTACCAATATCATATGAAGCTAAAGTGTTGCAATTTCTTCACACAATGCAGCATTCATATTGCCCTGTACACACTATCGGTAAGGCATTATATTCTAGTCCATTTGGAAGTTGGTGGCATAGGTCACTGGTTCCTTTTTAAATTTTATGTAAATTAAAGGTAAAATTGTGTTAAGTTGAATGTACATGTAATGAACCAGAAAAGTGTGATTTCGTTTAAGATTTCAGCATATTCCATGCATCACATTTTCTATGATGATTTATTTAGAAGTTTGTTTGTGTCTAATAGCCAATGGCATTGGAAATATTCAAATTAGTCGAAGTAAAGTAGAATGAGATTTAGGAAACACATATGGTTTTACCAAAATATAAATAAAGCAAATATAAATGAACACAGAGAAAAATGCACTCTAAAATATAATGAATGTACTCTGATTATAAACAGACCTGAGCACATAACACACAAACAGGACTTCTAAATAATTGTTTGCATTGACTATATTTTATGTTTTCATTGTCACATATGCCAGAGTATATTAAATATACTCTTTTCCTCTTGGATCCTTTGAATATAGATTTTTAGGAAGAAGTGCATAGTTTTTTTTACATCGGTGGAGTAAAACAATGAATCAAAGGTCCAGTATAGAATGCATCACCCACTGGTTCTGGATCTAAGGTATAAGATCCTAAAGGTTTTTGTTTGTTTTTAGTTTGGTATTATTTTTTTCTAGGAATTCACAATAAAAAATGTCTCTGGTTCTTGGATAGCACTAATTACCAACCCAGAAACATTTTTTAACTCAGATTTTTAACAGAATTATCATTTTGATTTGGAAATCCATATAGATATGCTCTGTCAATTACCTTACTGTCTAATTCTAATAAGGTTCCAAAGTGTGTTGGTTTAAAAAAAGTTTATAAAATGTGGAGAGGACAGAAAAGAACACATTATACAATCTAGATCTACTAATAGAATAACTATACAATTACCTAGGAAATTAGTACCCATGATAAAAAAAAGTGTACAAAGAATGCCATAAAAATAATGAGAGATTCAAGATGTTGCTACAATGATAATATAAAGATCTAATATTGATAAAATCTATATCAATTCTGACCTTTTTAAAGTTAATGAAAAATATAGATTTTAAAATTCAACCTCGTTACTTGACTTAGATTGGTTCCAATAAAAGATTTTAAAAAATATGCTTTAGAGTTTAAAAAAATGAAGTTATTTTCTCTAAGGAACATCACCTGTTATTAGCCCTCACCTCCTTTAAAATTTGTCCTCATACTTAAGAAAACTCATCAATTCTTTTCAAAATATCCCAGTAACATAGAATCTTTCAGAGATTTTAATACCAATGTACTATATTCATCCATCGGCTCTTCAATAAATGTGTAATTTGGTTTCAACAGTCTGCATGATGTTTTGTTCAGTGATGAGAAAACACACATTTCAGTGTATCAAAGGATATATAAGATGCTCAGGAAAAGCCCATCACCCAGATTTTTTTCCTGGCTTTTTCTCACCTTGAATCTCTTTCATGCTATTCTGTAAGATGAATTGGGACATTCGTCTCATTCTCAAGCAAAACAATGCTTTCAGAATTACCATTCTGCTATAACGAAAGGTACCACCCTGAGACTTAAAGTGACCATCTAGCAGGGGTCACTCCATTTGTTTCAAAATCTATTTGAATAAGAACATTGAACAAGCAAAAGTAAGAAACAATAATTAAAAGGTTCACCTTAACTTTCCCAGCATTATCGTCATCTTCCTTTTTGTCTTCAAATTCAAAGGCAACAGTCATGCGTTGCTGTCTCTGCTCTTCCCACAGTGTCGGGTTAAAGCTGTCACTGTCTGACTGGAAATCTACAGTTAGATTCCAAAAGATTGTTGCTTACTTTTACATAAAGTGTTTTTAATAGAGCTTAGTACTCTATGCAAACAATGGTGATAGGTACTACAAACAAATACAAAAATTTTTTAAAAGGGAAAAAAACAAAGAAAAAAGGGATATAAAGAGAGAAAGAAAAATAAAGGAAAGGAGGAGGAAAGTGATATTTGTTACATGGTCTTTAAAATATATATTAAAAATATATATATTATTGATTTCAGAGAGGAAGGGAGAGGAAGAGAGAGAGAGAGAAACATCAATGATGAGAGAGAACCATTGATCAGCTGCCTCCTGCGCACCCCCTGCTGGGGATCAAGTTCGTAACCTGGTCATGTGCTCTTGACCAGAATCGAACCTGGGACCCTTCAGTCCACAGGCTTATGCTCTATCCACTGAACCAAACCAGCTAGGATGGTCTTTTAATATCTTAACACAATTCAGGTTTCCTAAGTATGCTTTAATTATATATTGAGGTTGGGAAGTTTCCAGTGTAGAGAATGAGCTCTTCATAGGACAAAAATAATAATTGGACTAAACATTTAAAAATATTATCTGTTTTAATCTTTAATCCTCACCTGAGGACTGCTTAGAGCAGTGATGGCGAACCTTTTGAGCTCTGCGTGTCAGCATTTTGAAAAACCCTAACTTAACTCTGGTGCCGTGTCACATATAGAAATTTTTTGATCTTTGCAACCATAGTAAAACAAAGATTTATATTTTTGATATTTATTTTATATATTTAAATGCCATTTAACAAAGAAAAATCAACCAAAAAAATGAGTTCGCGTGTCACCTCTGACACGCGTGTCATAGGTTCGCCATCACTGGCTTAGAGAGAGGAATGGAGAGAGAGAGAGAGAGAGAGAGAGAGAGAGAGAGAGAGAGAGAGAGAGAAAGGCATTAATTGGTTGCCTTCAGTATCCCAGGTATGTGCCCAGACCTGGAATCGAACCAACAACCTTTCAGTGTACAGGAGAGGCTCAAACAACTGAACCACTTGGGCCAGGCTTATCTTTTTAATCTTCACAACAACACAATGGTAATACTAACATCACCCTCAATTTACTAATGAGAAAACTATATCTGAGTTTTAAGACTTGCTCAAAGTCATGCAGTTTCCCTGTGGTGTATACAGGATCCTGTTCCATGTCTGTGTAATTACAAAGCCCATATTTGTAACTACTAAACTGTGCCTGGATTTTGTAAAAGGTATTAACTATGTAACAATGGTTTTGTAAAGTGTCTAAGATTGCACCATTGTGTGTGTTGGGGGTCGGGTAGTGGGTGAGGTGGAGTCGGGGTAATGGAAGGGAGTTTATTTTTAGGGTAACAAACGTGAAAAATTTAATCTTTAACATGAAGGTCTAAATGTGTCTCAACTTAAGGGAAAATAAATGGCTTATAAATCTTTACATCAAATTGTTGGCTAATGATAATATCTTGTTTTTTGTTGCAAGGTTCTGAAAATTCACTTAATACACTTCTGCCTGAAAAACCAGAGGGTGAGATGCTTAAAGTTCAAGAAAATTGTTCTAATACTAACTCTTCTTTCCAAAGGAAACTAAAGCAAAACAAGGCTAATTCCTTAACATCACCTTACCTAAGTAGATCCTCCTCACTCCCTGTAACAAATTAGAAATTTAATCTGTGGGACTGGATCTCAGAAATAACCAGTGAATATAAGGCAGTTTCACTTTTCTTTACATCTTTTTAAGAGAAATATTTTGATAACGTAGGGATATTAAAATGTAAATATAAGTAAAGGTAGATGAATAAAACATAATTCTTATAAAAGTCTTTTCTTATACCATCTATAAACACGGTGGCTTTTCTTTCATAAATTCAAAAGATCAATTTTATTAAAGTCTGAAAAATGCATATTAAAGTGACTCTTTCCTTATCCTAATTCTGTAAGTCAAATATGAATAAAAATATCCTAAAATATTCCAAAATGATTCATTTATGTTCATATATCAAAGACTAAAGATATTTCTTATAATTATCCCTGATAATGAGAAATACATATACCAATAATTTATTTTAAAAGTTAGTCTCATTAAAGTGGATTGAGTGAATTTAACTGACTGGTGGATTAAAGTGGATTTACTCTTTTAAGAATGACAGTGACATAAGACTAGAAAATGTGCAGGAAAGCCTATGCTGTCTTGGGCTAAGTGGCCTATGCTGCGTTCCAAATTGTAAAGGGCAATACTGTTTTACTAGTAAACACTGTATGAATAATGTGGCCATAGGATAGAAGATTTAATTATTGGAAAAGGTTTAGGTTTTTCAAAAAGTACTCCTATCATAATTGCTGATGTTGTTTAGGGGAAACTCAACTTGAAAAAGAAAGAACAGTCATCATTTGCAGGTCATCTTTTTGTGGTTGACTCTTCACATGAAATAATTTGGGGCCTGGGATCATTGGATTAAATGTTAAAATTTCGTTCATGAAATGAGTGAACACAGGAATTAAACCAGCTTTCTGAATCTTCCTTAAGATCTGACTCTTCTTCGCTCATTTTAATGAGCTGGGTACCACATTTGGTCAACTAATCCTGGGCCTTGTAATCCATCAAGAGAAGTTGATCCTAAAAGTCAATTTTCTTATGACAAAGAGAGAGAGTTATGTTTTTGGAATCTTACTTAAAATATTATAGTGTGAAGATAAGATTCATACTTAATATCTAACCTCTAAATGATTGATGTAAGTCATGTAATGATCTTTATAGCCTTGCCCACACATTAGTATTCCTGGCCAAAGACCAGAAGAAAATGATTCTCTTTGGTCCATTATTATATAAGTTTGGGAGACATTTCTACTGACAATTTACCTTCATCACCACGAGGTTGCTGGGGAAACATGTAGTTAGTCAATACTCTTTGCTTTGTTTCTGGATGGGCTTCAGTTTGTAAAGGGATAAGGGCTTTGGACTGGAAGTAAAAAAACATATAAATTAGATCAATAAGCTAGCAAATATGCAGAATATTTATTTTATGTATGATAATGATCAATAGTCTGGACTCACCAAGCTAAATGAAAAATTAAAAGAAAAGCAAGGAAAAAGTAATGAAACTAGAAATTATAACATAAACTAAGACTATTGCTGGGAATATTTTTAAGTTCTAAGGTATTCATAACGAAATGTTCTTTTTCTCTAGTATACTCTTTTACAAAATTATCCATCCTCACTGAGCAATGTCAGTTTCAATCCTGAAGAGACCAAAAATGTATTAAATTGTTTAAACTAAGTAAGCTTTTGATATGGCTCTATATATCCATTCATTTTCAAAAGCTGTTGTCCAAAAAATATCCATTCATTTTCAAAAGCTGTTGTCCAAAAAGCACCAAATGGAATTTGCTATCAAATTCAAGCATTTATATTTAAGAGCTATTTTGAAACCAAAGACAGGGTCTACATACAGATAAGCAACAGTACTTGTATCTGATAGGGTCTTAATATATTGACCTATGGATGGCTATGTATCATTCTTTATTTATTAATTTGAGTTCAAAAATACTATTATAAAGGGGTTTTTAGAACTCTGATATTATATATTACTAGAGGCCCAGTGCATGCATTCATGTACATTGAAAGGAAATTAATAAGAAGATGGCCAGCGGAGTGGGACTGGGCTAGACAGGCTGGATATGCCCTGGAGTCAACCTCCTGTGTTCCCTCCCCAGCTGGCCACACCTGGGGTGGTGCCGGGGCTCGAAGGGCATCTGCGAAGTGAGTGGGGTCCCTTTGGCAGGTGGGGTTCCTCGGCCTGGCCTGTGAGGATTGGGCTGAAACCGGCAGTCTGACATCCCCGGAGGGGTCCTGGAGTGCAAGAGGGTACTCTGCAAAGTTGCTGTCTCTCAGCAGCTCCTGTGTTGAGCATCTACCCCCTGGTGGTCAGTGTGCATCATACCTACCTGCCGGTCACTTAGCCTTATATATATATGTATACTAGAGGCCTCATGCACGAAATTTGTGCACTCGGGTGGGGGAGGTCCTTCAGCCCAGTCTGCGCCCTCTCACAGTCCGGTAGCCCCACGATTGATTGCCCTGCAGAGGGACGCCCTGCCCACCGCCGCTGGCTGGGTAGCCTGGGCCTCCCTCTTCAGGGTGATCATGGAGCCCCCCGGCCAGTGGCCTGGGCCTCCCTCTGCGGGGCTATTATGGGGCGATGGCGGGGCCCCTCGAACAATCGCATCACACCCGTCTTGGCGGTGGCAATCAGTGCTGGGTTGCTGTGGCGCCCGCAACCCAGGAGGGACCAAGAGGTCAGCAGTTCAGCCCGCTCACCAGTACCCACCCACCCGAGCCTGCTGCTCACGCAGCCTGGCATTCGGTTGTCCGTTCAGTCATTTTGGACGTTACAGACCCTGGCTCTTTATCTATTACAGTGGTTCTCAACCTTCCTAATGCCGCGACCCTTTAATACAGTTCCTCATGTTGTGGTGACCCCTAACGATAAAATTATTTTCATTGCTACTTCATAACTGTAATTTTGTTACTGTTATGAATCGTAATGTAAATATCTGATATGCAGGATGTATTTTCATTGTTACAAATTGAACATAATTAAAGCATAGTGATTAATCACAAAAACAATATGTAATTATATATGTGTTTTCCAATGGTCTTAGGCGACCCCTGTGAAGGGGTTGTTTGACCCCCAAAGGGGTCGCAACCCACAGGTTGCGAACCGCTCATCTATTAGGATAGATGTATATGAGAATATACTGGAAATTATCATTTTATCTAATGTTTTAAAAATTGGCTTATTTCATGACATTTATTAATAGGAATGAAGCTCAAAGGGATTTGGGATATCAACTTGTCTCATGAAACTGAGTCAGAAACACATTAAATCACTGTTCTAAAAAAAATTAAATGATGCAGTCACTGTTCTGTTTATTCTCTACAAGAATAATAAATCATGATATTAGGGGATTTTTTTTCACAAGGCAAGACTGAATAGACTGTTCCATTACCATAATTCACATTGATTCCAGAAATGCTTTATTTATAATGATATACTGATGCCTTGAAAGATCTGTAGTTCATTGATAAGATTTGAATTTGAATGATAATCTAATTTTTTAGTCAGTAGATGGAAGCAAGTGCTGAAATCACTATAGAAGCACAAACATTATTCTTACACTTACATTCTACACTTTGTAAAGGTTTATTTTAATTTTTCACAAAAGTAGCCCAATACCTAGAAATCTGAACAATGCTGTTTTCATGCTCAGGAAATGATGACAAACTAAATTCAACATGATTTTTTTTCCACTTGGCTATTTATATTTTGGGATAAGTGTTTCAAAATTCTAGGATTATAAGAAAAGAGTAAAAGAGGACTAATAAACAATGTCAAAATTGTCCATCATCAATTTTTCTGGTGACAAATCAGATGTCTTCAACTGTTTCTTATTACTTTCCAGTTAATAAAATTATTACCAATTATAATCTAACTTCATGAGAAAAGAAATAATATCAAAGCAATTTTACAGAAAATACTGATAATAATTGCAAAAGATACCTGCAAATTTCTTGAAGTTCTAGAAATAAGTTGATTATAATTAAAAATATGAGAAAAAAGGAACATAGAGGATAATAATTCCCTCTTGTGGGGATTGTGGTAATAATTTCTTATTCTTTACCTTCAAAGGTATAATTAAAGTATGTCCTCTAAGGACATATATGTGCCATCTACAGCTAAAAAGCTATAAAAATGATCATTTTGTATATTAGATCTCTGAGAATGAAATAGATACTAAATTGAAGCATTAAAAGAGGTTGGGAATTATAGTTCTATTTTGTGTGCAGCAATGAAATACATATTTGAATTGCTACCTTTACAAAAATCTCTCCTCCAGAGGATAAAGAATCTATATTTTATACTAATTTGTCAGAGGTATCTATTGTTAAAAAAAGTTAGTAATTCAAAGTTTCAATTCTCCTAATTCTTTCTCCATTGTGTAGCCTGAGCTATATTTAAAAAGTAAAAACTTGCCGAAACTGGTTTGGCTCAGTGGATAGAGCGTCGGCCTGCGGACTGAAATTTTTCAACCTGCAAAAAAACAAGAAAATTTTAATAGCATGGGTACAGATGGATATAGTTCATTTTGATAAAGAATTGTTTAAAATATCTAACTCTCTATCCCTCTCCCTTCCTCTCTGAAAAAAATCAATAAAATATATTTAAAAAAAAAAAGTAAAAACCTCTTTTTACACCCTGTAAATGCTTTCCCTTGTAGCTAGGATAAAATCCAAAATTTCAACCATGCCTTTAAGATCTTACAAGATCTGGCCCCAAGTCTCCCCGTAAGCTTCTGCTACTCTTTTCCTGACTTAGTCCCATCAGCACCACTGGCATTCTCTCAGCCTGCTATGAAGGTAAGCCAAGCTTATCTCTTTCTCTAGCATATTCTTTCTCCCATAAGTCACTTGACTAAATCCCACATATCCTTTAGCTCTTAGTTTAAATGCCATTTTCTTAAAGAGGCCTTTTCTTTTTAAAATAATATTTTTTTTTATTGATTTAAGAGAGGAAGGGAGAGGGAGAGAGAGATAGAAACATCAATGATGACAGAGAATCATTGATCGGCTGCCTCCTGTATTGAGCCCACTGGGAACTGAGTCCACAACCCAGGCATGTGCCCTGACCTGGAATTGAACCATGGCCTCATGGTTAATCGGTTGACGCTCAACCACTGAGCCACACCAGCTGGACAAGAGGCTTTTTCTTGACTACTCATTTAAATTATTTTTCCCAATCTAGTCACAAAGCACCTCATATTTTCCTTCCTTAAACATATCACAGTTTATAATTATGTATTTTTTTTTGTGATAAAAACAACCCAAACTATTAGATATCCTCACAAAAATGTAGGCTCCATGAGGGCAAGGGGACATGTCTTTCTTACTATTAAAAGAATTTACAGCTCCCAACATTATTTTGACTCCTGAAAGTATGTCCTTAGGTTCCTTCAGCGTTCATACATTGTGTGAATCTTTAAAAATGTCATTTTGAGATAGATGAAGTTTGGCATCAGCCTCGGTATTCAATAAAAATTATTTGTTTAGCTTTGGCTCCAGCCTTTGGAAGGCCAAATAGCCAAATGTCTAGTTCAAAACACTATCTGACATTCTTTACATTGTGCATAATCAATAAATAGTGATTATCATGACAGCTAGGCAGCAAAGTAATACAAACAAAGCATGCCAATGGATTTGTTATTTTCTTCATGTTCACTTTTGAATACAGATAAACATTTTAGATATAACTTATAATGAAAATTTCCTTACATCTTTAATATGCTGAAATTCTATTAGCGAATTGATAAATAAATATATTTTGATAATGGAAAGGGAAAATGTTATTGTAACTGCTTCCACATACAAAAATTAGTTCCCACAATTTTTGTATGTGGAAGCAGTTAAACACTTTCATATAATTTAGTAAATATGCAAAGCTATTGAGAGCCAATACAAATACCAAAAGAGTGTGTATTAGCTAAATGACTTTAGGAAGAATATAATAACCTTTCTGAGATTATTAATGTTTATAAAACATAAATAATAATGTAAAGAATAAAATATATTAATCTATATCATAATTCTCTTTTTATAGACTTGTTATACTAGCATTTATAACATTAACCCAAATTACTCATAAAAGCTGTTTCCAATTTTTAGTTATTTAATTTCATGTAAGACAGAAACTATCAAGTAAGGTCTTATGGGGAGAATTTTTTGCATCATGTGTCAATGAATTAAAAGTAGAATATTACATGAGGGGAAAACTTTCCAGAATAATATACACCTCCATGATAAATTATCATCAATCCAGTCATAAATGTGGAGGATGAAGAATGTTAGTGAAGGATGTTACCCTCATTTTTCCTTGCTCTTTCAGTTGTAGAAAGTGAGCCTTTATTTAGTACCACAGAAGCTGTCTTACAAATCTATTTTATAATATACTAGAGGCCCGGTGCACAAAAATTTGTGCACTCGGGGGGGGGGTCCCTCAGCCGGCCTGTGCCCTCTCGCAGTCTGGGACCCCTCAGGGGATGTCCACTTGCTGGCTTAGGCCCTCTCCCAAGGCGATCGGGCCTAAGCTGGAAGTCAGACATCACTCTGGCAGCCCAGGAGCCCTCAGGGGATATCCACTTGCCAGCGGGGAGTAGGCCTAAGCTGCAGTCGGACAACCTTAGTGCTGCTGAGGAGGTGAAAGAGGCTCCTGCCACTACCACTGTGCTGGCAGCTGTCAGCCTGGCTTGTGGCTGAGCAGAGCTCCCCCTGTGGGAGCACACTGACCACCAGGGGGCAGCTCCTGCATTGAGCATCTGCCCCCTGGTAGTCAGTGTGTGTCATAGTGACCAGTCATTCTCAGTGGTTCTGCTGTTATGGTCAATTTGCATATTACCCTTTCATTATATAGGATCGAGGCCTGGTGCACGGGTGGGGGCTGGCTGGTTTTCTCTGAAGGGTGTCCTGGATCAGGGTGTGGGTCCTGCTAGGGTGCCTAGCCAGCCTGGGTAAGGGGCTGAGGGCTGTTTGCAGGCTGGTCAAGCCCCTCAGTGGGGACCCTCACCTCATGGGGGTTTGGCCAGCCTGGGTGAGGGGCTGAGGGCTGTTTTCATCCTGGCTACACCCCCTTCAGGGTGGGGGCCCCCACTGGGGTGCCTGGCCAGCCTGGGTGAGGGGTTGAGGGCTGTTTGCAGGCTGGCCACACCCCCTTCAGGGTGGAGGTCCCTGCTGGGGTGCCTGGCCAGCCTGGGTGAGGGGCTGATGGCTGTTTGCAGGCTGGCCACAGCCCCTTCAGGGTGGGGGTTCCTACTGATGTTCCTGGCCAGCCTGGGTGAGGGGCTGATGGCCGTTTTCAGGCTGGCCACAGCCATGGGCTGGAAGCAGGTATCTGGGATTTATTTATCTTCTATAATTGAAACTTTGTAGCCTGGAGCGGAGCCCACAGCCGGCCAGGGCAGGCGGGAAGCTTGGCTTCCTCCATCGCCAGGGACAACCCAAACCTCTTGTTCACTCCAGCTCCGTGGCCACTGCCATCTTGGTTGGGTTTATTTGCATACTTGCTCCTGATTGGCTGGTTGGCGTGGCTTCTGGGTGTAGCAGAGGTACAGTCAATTTGCATGTTTTCCTTTTATTAGATTAGATTTAAAAAAATCTTATATTTTAAATATTGAACTGGAATAATTGTGACTTTTGGATAACATTTCATATTTAATCTGTTTTCTAAACAGTTTAATTTCCTGATGACAATGTTCAACTTTGTCCTCAGCTTTGGCTAAATATTAATTTTAATCTCAGGTTAAGGTTTGTTGAGTAATTCATTAATTTAAAAATATTAATTTGGCTCATACTATGTTTTAGTCACTGTATTAGCAGATAAATTAAGCTTACATTTCTGGCTGATAAGTATTTAAACTCCTGATGTTATAAAATTCCCAGTATTTTATTCATATCTTTTGCACTAGCATTCAACAATGTGTCTGTTCCATGGTAGGAACTCAAGTATGCTATATTTATTGAATAAATAGCTCCATTACTAGTTCTTCCAACTAATGGATCCTTTAAAAATTTTTAATAAATATATTTTCTATTTCATCACACAGATTATTAATGTATAAAAGTTGAGCAAAACTAATATTTAGGAGAGACTTCCATAGCTCATAAAACTTCCCTCCAGGTGACAATTATGGAGCTTGGTTTTATTGGGGAACTGTAATGGAATTCACTGGAACTCCATCTTCCTATGATATCCCCATGACCTATCTCTCATCTTACGAGAATATAATTAAAATTTTTTGAAAAATGTTTTGTTGAAAATCAGGTACAACATTAAATGCATTTCCCTCATTTTCCTGTCTAGTAATGCAGTCAATACAGGAAACAAGGTTGGTTTGACATGACTTACTCTTGTTGCACCAAACTATGAGGCTTCCTTGTTATCTTAATTTTAAAAATAAAACCCCAAATCTTTTGATAAAATGTTTTATTCTCTTATATGGGAACATTACTGAGCTGCTAAGTGAATGTTTTTTGAAATTTACATTATTATTATTTTCTTAAACTAACAAACAAATGAGAAATTCCACACTTAGTAAACTTTCAGAATCTGAACATACTTCAATCCTTCATAAAAGCTAATCTTGACAGTTTTGTTGCAAAGCCTCTCAATTTCTCCTATTATTTTTAGTCTGATTGAAACTTATTGAAAACAAAGAGTTCAAGCATTCTATTGCGTAATCACTTATCTTCTTAGTAGTTATCTTTAGTTAATTTAAAAAATATATATTTTTTTATTTTTATTGATTTCAGAGAGGAAGGGAGAGAGAGAGAGAGAGAAATAGAAACATCAATGATGAGAGAAAATCATTGATCAGCTGCCTCCTGCACACCTACTACTGGGGATCAAGCCCGCAACCCAGGCATGTGCTCTGACTGAGAATTGAACCGTGATCTCCTGGTTCATAGGTTGATGCTCAACCAATGAGCCACTCTAGCTGGGCTTTAGTCAATTTTTTTTATCCTTTCCTGTTTATGGACAATTGTGGTGAAAATAAAGATGAACTGCAGTTTTACTTTTTCTTTTTACCCATCAACCGATATAACACCTTTGTCAAGTCCTTTCTTTTTTGTCCTGTTCTGAACATGACTAAATGACCATTTGGGTATCCTTACCATAATGTAAAACCCTTATGACTAGTTAGGATTAGCTTCCTGGCAATATATTTACCAGCATTTTGGTGCTGTTGACTATATACATATTGCCAATTTAATTTACTGGAGACATAAAAATATACATGAAAACATATATGTCTGCATGCATACATATCTATACATATAATTTTATTAATAAATTTTGTAGGTTTTTATTTCAATTATTTTTCATGTCTTCATAGTATTATGTTTTCTGCATATGGGAGAATTTCAGTATATAAATTTTATATAATTTTAAAATACAATATAATATATGGTTTGAATAAAATCAAATAATTAAACTTTGAAATATCTCTTTAAAAATAATTTAGCTCCTGCATTTTCTAAATGGACATTTGCATATTTGCATGACACTTGCATTCCTATACTTCACACACATTTTACATAGATATGTTTCCAAAATTATTAATAAGCAACAATAATTTGCTTATAGTAGGTAACTAATATGGGATTGCGATATGTTGCAGAAATACCTGTTGTCACTCAAATTTAAGACTCTTAGTTTCTGCATCTGTCCAATCTCTTCAGGAAGAAATTCCAGTTTATTGGAGCGTAGAGACATAACTGTTACATTCTTACAGCTTCCAATCTATAGGTAACAAGAATAAAAAGTAAAGAATCACAATGTTTATATTAATTTTATAATTTGTAAAACAATTTGATTAATTTACACATTTCCTTATCACTTTTAAGATCCTCTTTTTTTTTTTTTTTTTTAAATATATTTTATTGATTTTTTACAGAGAGGAAGGGAGAGAGATAGAGAGTTAGAAACATCGATGAGAGAGAGACATCGATCAGCTGCCTCCTGCACATCTCCTACTGGGGATGTGCCCGCAACCCAGGTACATGCCCCCGACCGGAATCGAACCTGGGACCCCTCAGTCCGCAGGCCGACGCTCTATCCACTGAGCCAAACCGGTTCCGGCTTAAGATCCTCTTAATGTGTGTATTAATTTTTATAATCTCACTCTTTGAAATATGTGTATCATTATTTATATATTGCTTTAGATATGAAGGCAATGTACATCTCATATTCTTTTACATATTAGGAAGGAATAATTTTCTTTATAATTTTATTATTAGAACACTTAATTGTTTTTATGTCACATTGATTTTGCCCATCCAAGCGAATAGTAACATATCTATGTTTGTAATAGATCATACATATTCAAAATGTGAAGAATTGTTGACATTCTTTGGTAAAGTTAGTTTTACTTCAATTACAATGGTTTTTGTCATTTTTACTTATAATTTTGGGCTTTAAAATGATATATGTAATACCTTAATCAATAAAGAAAAAACCGGCAAATAAATAAAATGATATATAGATTATTGCTCCATTGTCATGGAAGTGTTTTGTAAAAATGTTGAAAACATACATCATGCTTTTTCCTTGACATTAATAAATAAAACTTCTGTTTAGAGATAAAAACTAACAGAACCTCTTGGTGTATCCTGAAACTAAAATAATATTGTTATGCAACATGATACTTTTAAAAATTATTTACATGAAAAATCTTTCACTTCAGGAATGGAAATATAATGATCTCAAAATATTTATTTCTCTTCTTAAAAGCAAAATATATAAATTATTCAAAATTAATTAGCATTAATTAATTTACAATATTTTATTACTTTTCTTGGCAAGCAATGTTTAAATGCATTTTCTATAAGAACTTATCATTTGTCATTTAAAAGAGAATGATTAACAAATACATTAACATATATATAGACAATTCCTATGACTATTCAAAACTCAACTCATGAATCTAAACTGCCTTTATATTTCTTAAGATTTAATCCTAAAACAGAATTATTAAAGGTTAATTAATAGAAACAAGTTCATTCCTCACTTCTCTGGGTAATTCTGGAAGAAAATTCTCATCGACTGCTAATGTTCGAAGACTATGAAGGTAGCCAACAGTAGGAGGTAGTGACTCCAGTTCATTACAGCTACAGTCAAATTCTTCTAATAAAGATAAACTGAAAAGATAAATACATTAGTTAGACATTTTAAAACATTAGATGGCAAAAAACTTTTGAAAAAGCCCCATGTTCAGATTCAGCAAAAACGTTATTTATCTAGTGACTGAATAATTTATATCATTTATTTTATCAGTTTAGCCAAGTGATTAAATACTATTTAATAAGTGGTTCCATTTGGTAAAATAAATATAGTTTATTTTCCCCCTTTCTAAATTCACTTGTCATTTAACGGAACCATTGGAAATGAGAGATGGTTTTGTTTGTTTGTTTTTAATACAACATAGGTGTCATTTATAGTCAGATGTTCATAAAGTATGTCCTTGGAATAAATATATATAACTGGCATGGGTAGGTAGAAGGGCATAGAGGGTGGGCCCAAGAAAGGGAGAATAAAGGGGCCAAACGGTAACAACAAAATATTGATTAAATGATAGGTATTTTGCTAAGCATTTTAGAGATATAAATAACTCATCTTTTGCTTGTAACAATTCTCTACCTATTATTTTAAATTCTATTGTACAGATAAGGAAATGATGGCTTACAGAGGTGACGTAACTTGCCTAAGGCCACACACAGTAGGAAAGCTGAAGGCTAAATGCAGGCAGCATGGCCCCTGCATGACCTTGCCCCTTAGCCTGTGCCTCTGTAACAGAGGCTGCAAACAGAGCTTATTTCAACCTGCAGATGTGTTTGGTTTACACAGGTTTTTTTTTTTAAGTGGTAAACTGGTAACTATTTATTTATTTATTTATTTATTTATTTATTTATTTACTTATTTATTTATTTTTATTGATCTTAGAGAGGGAAGGAGAGGGAGAGAGAGAGAGAAATATCAATGATGAGAGAGAATCTTGATTGGCTGCCTCCTGTATGCCCCACACTGGGGATCGAACCTTCAACCTGGGCATGTGCTCTGACCAGGAATTGAACTGTGATCTCCTGGTTCATAGGTCGACGCTCAACCACTGAGCCACATTGGCTGGGTGACTTTTGGCATCTCTTAAAAAAAGAGGAAGACCTGGCAATACTGAGCATGTAGTCTTCCACAACAAGTCATGGACATAGAGTAATGGCTGCTGCCTCTGGTCACAGTTCTCCAGTTTGTCACAACCACTAGCACTCCATATTAGCCAGCTTGACCCCGTATCTACAGAAAGGACTCGTATGAATGCACTTTCAAGTTATCACCAGGGAACCAGACATTCTGATGGCTGGTTTGAGACAGCCGGGAAAGTAGGAGGGCCTGGCACAGAGGAGGCACTAGCTGTATTTAAGTTGTCAGTGATGTTGTTGTTAATATTATTATACTGTCATCACTACTCATATCATTGTTATTACTGTAATAGGAAGGAACCCCAAGGGGGAAGATCTTGCCCTCGCAAAGAGGAGATTGAATTAGAGTTGTCTGGACTAGATTGTAGAATCAGCTTCCTTTTTTTATACCTTGGAACTGGCTGGTCTGACTGCCATTTACTCTCCTCATTTAGTTTCACAGAAATAAGCATGTGGGTTTTTAGTCAGTCAGAATGGATCTGTACTCGAGCTCTGTCAATTGCTAGATGCATTATCTTGGGTATCAAAAAATAAAACAAAAACCACAGCTCAAAAATCAAAGCTGACAGGCAAAGGGACATAGCAGGAAGAAATTCACTGAGTAGTGCTCTGAGGGGGGAAATTAAGTGCCAAAAGGGGGAGCTAGCAGTGGGCTATGCTAATTAAGGATTAAAAATGTGCTTTATGTAGAGAGTGAATTGCCTTTACAAGTCTTTGTTCAAGGTAAATCAAGTCCCATTATCCATGGGTCAAGAAAGAAATGAGTTCAGCCAGGTCAAGTCTGACCCTGACCAAAGTCACTCACCATCCATGGTCCTTAAGCACTTCAACAGGTAGAACCAGATGAGGGAACAGCATTCCGCTTTGAGTATTATCTCTTTGGCAAGTGCTGCTTAAGTGAAATTTTTTCTTTTGCACAGACCAGTTCTATAACTTTTCTCTAATCCTTAGTTTCTTTATATTTGCAATGAGGATATGAATATGTCTTGCCTCATGTTAGTTGCTCTGAGTATTTCATGAACTATTGTAAGTAAAGAATCTAGCACAGTACCTGCCATAAAATACATACTCAGGATATACGTTTTCTTTGTATTAGTGAACCCTCATAAATTTGTTTCTAAATCCTCTGAAACCCTCACATGCAGGGGTGGTCATGTTGCTGGGTGCCAGGTGTGCATGGGGTGTGTGTGTGTGTGTGTGTGTGTGTGTGTGTGTGTGTGTTGGTGGGCACAGGGATCAATGTACTGGGAAACCCATAACAGTTTATTTGTTTCTAAAAAAAGTCTAGCACAGTGTCTTACACATAATGCACTTAATATATTTGGTAGAATTTGTTAAAAGACATTTCTATCAATGGCTTGTTGTCATGCACTCAGCAAGTGGTGATAAAAGTACCAGGACTTTTTTAAAATAAAATTTTCTGATGTATGTTCCAGGTAGATATCAAAGAATTAAACAATTAAAATATAATTAAAGTATCTTATTTTTTCTTTCTTTCATAAAAATATGTCTTGAAGTTAAGTCTTGAGTCACACAGTAAGGCAGTCCTTACTTTCTATAGTTCTGATAGGCACACATTTCAGTTATTATGGCTTCATGAAATAATATTAGCGCCTTAACAACATGACTCAAATTTAAGTTACCTCATATACTGTGAGTAACTGCATAAAATATAAACTTCACTGCTAACTCTTCATTCTAGAGTCACAGTATAAATAACAGATGTGTGTCTGAACAGTGGCTAGTCACGTTTCTTCTTTCAAAGTCTGTCAGTGATCAGTCACTGCACAGTGTTACTCAGTTCACACACAGACTGTAAATCACATTGTTGTGTTGCTTACTTGTCAGTCAGCAATACAGGGACACTACAGGCACAATAATTGAACATTTAAAGCACTACTACCATTGGATAGTATTCTTGGTCGTCATAATTCTTTGGGGTATTTAAATGAAAATGTGAAAGTTTGCTTTTATCACCAAGAACAACATTAATCCAAGCAATGGACAAAGGAATTATTTCAACTTTGAAAGCCTCTTATCTTATGCAGGCTTTTGAATAGGCTATCGATGCCACAGTTGAAGACCAAGCATTATGTTTAGCTGTGTTTTGGAAGAAATATGACATAAAGCATACAACTGAAGATATTCAAGCATCATGGCAGGAAGGAACAGCAAGTCACATGGGTGCAATATAGCAGAGACTTTCAGCGCGTTGTGCAAATAACTTGGCAGAATTCAAATCAAACATAAATGGAGTTGTAGAAGAAGTGGCTGACTGCTGAAATTTGCCTGCCACTATTCGAGAGACTAGATATGCTGCCAGTAGAACTTAGTGGAAGCAAACCTGTTGACATAAATGAGGAAGGTGGTTGTGATGAAAATGATGACGTCCCAGAGGAAGTGACGCTGGGCATCAACTTCACCTTAAAGGAACTCTCAGAGATGTTTCTAAACATTGCAAGCACGAAGGATAAAAGTTTGGAAGCTAACCCAAGCTTAAAAAGGAGTATGACAATTCACTGCCACATAGAAAAAAACGTTCACTCCAAATTATAATTTACATGATGAACAGAAGGCAAGCACTGTTCAAATTAATCTTGATAGTGTTGTTTTCTTTAAAAATATATATTTTATTGATTTTAGAGAGGAAAGGAGAGGAAGAGAGATAGAAACATCAATGATGAGAGAGAATCATTGATGGGCTGCCTCCTGCATGGCCCATACTGGGGACGGAGCCCATAACCCGGGCATGTGCCCTGATCAGGAATGAACTTCCTGGTTCATAGGTTGATGCTCAACCCCTGAGCCACACTAGCCAGGCTTGATAGTTGTTGTTTTTTGTTTTTTACAAAATAAATAAAACATCGTAATTCTTGATGCTCCTAATGCTTACAATGACAGTATACTAAATAAATATTGACTTTACTAGTTTTTCATTTCCCTATACATTTATAACCAACCGCACAAGTGTTTAATGTTTTGAAAGAACTTTTGAAAACAATCATAGTTTAATCACAGTTTTCCTCATGGACTGTTTTGCACAGTTTCAGGTTGCAGCATGCTTGTTTTTATGGTCTCCCACTACTGTGCAAAGCAAAAACTTCCTGCATTAAAAGACAACATTTTTCCTATACCGTAAATATACTGAATTCATAATTTATAGCCTGAAAGTATTTTACATCTCTGAGATACAGAGGAAAGCTATTAGGTGCAAAACATACATTCTTCAATGATTTCTGAAATTCAAAAGATTCTAATTAATAATTTAACATTCCAACTGACTACTGATGGCTATCTTGTTAGAAATCACCTAAGGTATTTTAATTCCAGATCTATATAAATACAGTTGTATCACATTTGGCATAGACCAACTAAGTGAAAAAATACTCAGACAGAGGAAGACAATACCATATAATCTCATTTATATGTGGAATCTAAAAACAAATAGGCAAACAAACCCAAGAAAATAGATACAGAGAATGGATTGGTGGCTGCCAGAGGTGGAGGTGGGAGGTGGGCAAAAATGGGTGAAGGCAGTCAAAAGGTACACATTTCCACTTATAAAATCATCAAGTCTTATGGATATAATGTACAGCATAATAACTACATATTGCATATCTGAAAGTTCTAATCACAAGAAAAAATTGTAAGTATGTATGGTGACACATTAATTAGACTTGTGATCATTTTGAAATATAAACAAATATTGAATCATTATGTTGTACTCCTGAAACTAATGTTTTATGTCAATTATATTTCAATAAATAAAACACACATTAATTATACTTTGTGCAAACAAACAAACAAATCCTCGCTGTGGCCAGTGTGGTTCAGTTGGTTGCACATTGTCCATGCACCAAAAGTTCACAGGCTTGATTCCCAGTCAGGGCACAGGCCCGGGTTGTAGGCTCGATCCCCAGTAGGGGGCCTGCAGGAAGCAGCTG